GAATATTTTTTGAGTGACTGTTTAGTACAGTCACTCAGTAAAACTTTTCGTCACGTGTCTAACTAGCTGAACTTGTTTTTGAATACGTTTACCTCCAGTCTGCTGTTTAGGCAACACGCCATAACTCTCCTCATCATGTATTCCTGTCCAATTCGCAACACGCCCAGCCGATATTTTAGTAGAAGCGTCTCTGCTGACTTGTCGTCATCTCCTACATTTATACTTGTGTATTTAACTAAATGTCCAAAAATATAGTGGAACAACAAAACATGAAGTCGGACAATGTTATGCCTCGTGTCTCGGATAAATAAAATTGATCTNTGCCCCAGATACTAATTGGAGAGGGAATAATAATGCTAATATTATTTTCAGCATCCTGTTTCCTTGTAGTTAATTGGAAATTAAGTAGAAATACCAATGTCCGTATTTCGAGTTAAGCGTTTGGGAGGTGAAAGCTGGACGAGTGTCTTAAACATATTGGGATAGAGACCTTCAAAGGTGGTTTATTTCTTTGAGTCTGGTGCAAATAGATTGGTTCATTGCACACATGTCGGATATAAATACGGCTGAGCTGAGCATTCAAGCCGTTGGAGATGATTCGCAAGGTGCCGGAGGCAGCGGTGGGCGGCCGGCCCGAGCTCCGCAGGCGACGGCACTCTAACTTTATTAAGGAGGCGCCGTCGCTGAATCAAGGTGACGCGCCTTCACAATGCCCTATTCAGATTTGAATAGCTTTACGCCCAATTGCGCTTCAATATGCCTCAAGCACTCCGGGATAGTTATTTCACTTAGTAATTTCAACTAATTAATTAGGGACGGAGAATTCTTTACAGAAACTACTTAGTCGACGTCGAACAATCTTATTCAGGGATATTTTATTAATGCTACGGCTTTACCAAGGAGTTTAATAATCTGAATGTTGTGTGTTCTAAATAAACTATGCTTTAACGGACATTTTAACCCAATCTTGCTTTATTTTTTAAGACTACTGCGCTAAGACAATATAGCTGAGCTGAAGTAGTAAGCCGCACCCAAATGTAAAAAAGTCTGAGTTTCTAAAAATGCCTAAAATATAAATGGGTGGTTTAGATCACTGACTATGCAATACTTTTCATTCACAACAAAATTGCCACCAATATATCTACTTAATGCTACGAAACTGAATGTGTGATTGCTCGTAATTTCAGTAATTATGCCTAATTCGATGTGGATTCACAAGTATCTTTGAGCAAAGGCATCTGCCACACGCGTTACCATGAGAACAATGGCGCGCGACAAGTGGAGGAGTGCGGGTGACTTGGGTTCGAACAAAGTTTGGCAATTATGGCGACCGCATGTCTGAGAGCGACGCTACTCATTACCGGCTGGAACTCGACTCGTCTAGATTAAAAGTCCAAGAGACATGGGCCCGGGGCCGCAGGGACTCGCCGCGCCTGAAGTCAGCACAATATGTATAACACAATAGCTAACGAATCTATACTAATATTATAAATGCGAAAGTAACTCTGTCTGTCTGTCTTGCTTTCACGCCTAAACTACTGAACCGATTTTGATGAAATTTGGCATAGAGATAGTTTGAGTCCCGGGAAAGGACATAGGATAGTTTTTATCCCGGTTTTTGAAACATGGATGCGCGCGATAATGTTTTTCTGTGACAGACAAAATTCCACGCGGGTGAAGCCGCGGACGGAAAGCTAGTTGATTATAATTCCCAGAAACATCGATATTTTTTGTTCGTGAAGTTATGATAATTTAACCGAATGGGTCACCCATTCTATTCTATAATACGAGTATACGGTGCCACGCGTATACGAGTTTAAACAATCTATACCTGTTCATGACATGAGGCATTTCATTTGCATTTTTATGAATAAATTCACCCCAAAAAATCAATAGCAATCTTGTTAATTTAACAAGCTTCGGAACAGGAACACCAAGTTACGTAACTAGCTAACTCTGCCGGGTATTGCGCCGTGTTCCAAGACAACGTCTGAACAAACACTATAGTTGCTACTTCCCAACAGTTCAACTACTCTCGTTTAACTACGAAAGTATGATAATGTAGGCAGTGAAATTAAATATGTAACTGGCAAACTTGATAATAAGGTACCTATTTCTATTTGTGCTTTTAATGCAGAGTAAGCAAACTTACTACATACATACATGAAATAAAAATAAAGAAGATTCTCCTTTATAGTTACTAATGTTATGCAAATTAAAGCAACACAACAACGAACTTATAGAATGTTGAATTGATTGCCGTAATAGCATTTGCTCCACCACATGCCGCAGAATCATTTATTTGTCCTACGACTGATGTGAAGGCAATTACAGGTCGTTAGTTTAATAAGCTTAGCGCAAAGCTCTGTCGTAAATAGCGTGAATACCGCGAGTGGGATGGATGATTATCGCAAAATCTGTGTTTTCATTATGATATTAGCATGTATTTGCTTTGTTAGTTTGAAATCCGCTAACGAATAGCTCTAAGCCACTATTCTATTGAATTAATATAGATATATGTGCCAAGTTCTGAGAATTTACTAAGACAATCTAAAAGGTTCCGATTTTATGTTATTTTGTAGCATCAAAGAGTGGCTCCAAATGGCTCGTGTAACGAATATGTTATGATATTTTGTGTTCTATATTGAGACGATAAAATGAACCGAAATGGACGACACAGGCACAGTCTGAGAGTCCCCCGTGAACTTGAAACTATTGCGCACGCAAAACTTAAATTGTGTTGAATCAGAAACTTAATTCCATGCGGGTAAAACCGCGAGTGGAGGTCTAGTATTTTGTAAACAAACAAGACCCAGTGTACCTAAGTAATATACTCGAGCCTCGAGCAAATGAGACGTTTAAAGTTCTGAACACGCTCGTAACACAGAGAGCTGGTGGATATTGTCGTAAAAGTCCTACCTTGTGTACTGATTAGCATCCCAGCGCGCATGCAAGGCAACAACGACGATGCTAGTATCCTATTATAAGAAAACTCCGTATAATAGCATTCGTGAAACACCCCGTTTTATTTAAAAAAATACTTATTACTTACAAAATCTAACGATAAACGAACGAGGGGTCACATTTTGTACGAGTCAGGCTTTTAAGTATGGCGTTTCGACGTATAAATAGAAATAAAGTTTATCTGTTTTTGAAAATAGGGGTAAAAGTTTGATGCAATAATAAAAAGAACGGAAAACAATGAGCAAATAGAATCCCTTGGTGATGACGCAAAAGAACCCATAAAAAATACTTCTAACTGAAATAGTAGTCAGATGTCCAATTTTCAATTTCTTTTTCGAGCAACTGGGGCCATACATTGGCAATAACGCGATGAATGTTGGCAATGAATTCCGTAGTTTATCTGCGCACTAGTGGATAATCCATAGGTCTGTGTGAGATCACCCGATTGTGGAGGCAAATTCAAAGATCCATCACGTGAAATTATGCGCTCATCGAATGTTTCCCGCAATAAATTGAATGTGTCGCGTGCTGGTTGGATGGTAACACCATCTTGTTGAAACCATAGCTCTGCCACATTAATATCATTCATCCGAGGAATTAACGGTTACGAAAATTACGTCGACCGTAATATGGACGTTTGTATGGAAAACTGAACCATGATTTTTAAAATACATTTTTACACAATTTGCAAGAGTTGTTCTGAAGTAATTCTATTTAATTATGAAATGGCAAAACCTACTGTCCACAAATGTACCCCCAACTATCAAGTTAACTATCACTAGAAACAGTGTAACCAATTTAAAGTTGTATACCTCTAAAAAAACACCCGTTAGGTAGAATAAAGTTTACTTGTGGCGGTTTCTCGTATTCGGGCTACGGTATTCATATATACGAAAGAAGGTACTAGCCTACAACTAAAATAATGGCGTTTGACTGCGGAGGTACATTGCATTAATTGCCTTTAAGTAAGTGCGAGCGACCTTGTCGCCTTAAAAAATATTAACAACTCAAAAAAAAGTTTGTATAACAGCTAAAGGACTACCTGCAAATTAGGATTTACCCTCCGTTGTAACAGTATATAAATCAAGACTACGCTTAAGCCTGTTTATAAAAAAGCTCAAGAACTAACCTGCAAACTAGGATGGACCCCCAGTTGTAACAGTGTTCGGACGACACCCAAATGGCCTTTATTGACTGCTATATGCAGCGGTGTTTGCGTTCGGCGGTTCCTTGCGTTCAAGTCGGCGTCGGCGGCACCTAATGCACGTATCAAGACTACGCATAAGCCTGTTTATAAAAACTAACCTGCAAACTAGGATGGACCCCCAGTTGCAACCGCATCCGGACAACACCCAGATGGCCTTTATTGATTGCTATATGCAGAGGCGTTTGCCTTCAACGGTTCCTTGCGTTAAAAAGCTCAACAACTAACNATGGACCCCCAGTTGCAACCGCATCCGGACAACACCCAGATGGCCTTTATTGATTGCTATATGCAGAGGCGTTTGCCTTCAACGGTTCCTTGCGTTAAAAAGCTCAACAACTAACCTGCAAACTAGGATGGACCCCCAGTTGTAACAGCGTCCGGACGACTCCCAAATGGCCTTTATTGACTGCTATATGCAGCGGTGTTTGCCTTCGGCGGTTCCTTGCGTTCAAGTCTGCGTCGGTGTCACCTAATGCACGTATCAAGACAACGCATAAACCTATTTATAAAAACTAACCTGCAAACTAGGATGGACCCCCAGTTGTAACAGCGTCCGGACGACACCCAGATGGCCCTTATTGAGTGCTATATGCAGCGGCGTTTGCCTTCGGCTGTTCCTTGCGTTAAGGTCTACGCTGGCGGCGGCTAAGGCATGTATCAGGACTACGCTTAAGCCTGTTTATAAAAAAAGCTAACGAACTAACCTGCAAACTAGGATAGACCCCCAGTTTTAAGTGTCCGGACAACTCCCAGATGGCCTTTATTGACTGCTATATGCAGAGGCGTTTGCCTTCAACGGTTCCTTGCGTTAAAAACCTCAACAACTAACCTGCAAACTAGGATGGACTCCCAGTTGTAACAGCGTCCGGACGACTCCCAAATGGCCTTTATTGACTGCTATATGCAACGGCGTTTGCCTTCGGCGGTTCCTTGCGTTGAGGTCTGCGCCGGCGGCGGCTAACGCTCGCAGCGCCGCGGGCTCATCGCCAAAAGCCGCGTGATGCGCCGCTCGGTCACCGTCGCGGTCTTCAGCATCAGCCTCGGCGCCCACTTCCACTAATGTTCGAATCACTTCCACGTGGCCGTTCTGGGCGGCTGCCTGGATATAACAGATTTGGTTAGCATTTTTAATAGCAAACTTTATTGAAAAAAAAACAAAATTATTTTTCAATAATGTTAACAAGTTTGATTATGATTAGGTAGGTATATATCTGAAATATGATTCCGTGTTTCGGAAGGAGAGCTAAGCCGTCAGACCGATTGAACCACCTGAGAAGTTCTTTACGGCTCGTATCTGAGATCGAATTTGTCTTTAACCTAGAGATTTTTAACCTTTCTTAGAGTTAAAAACTCTAGCTAGACAAATTACTAGCCCACTGACAACAAAATAGTAAACAATAGGCATGCATTTAAATTAGTATTCTGGAAGATCAAGTTATAAATAAATAGAGTATTATAGAGCATGGGGGAACAATTTTAATAACTGGAAAGGTCTTTTAGGACGAACGATGATGACATCACAAAGATTAATATAGGTATTAGTAATAGATAAGGTTTGCGTGCTATGAAATAATTTCTAGAGCTCAGAACTATTACGATTTGACTGCACAATGTTATCGTTCTTTTAGCCTCGAACCATTAATATTCCGAAACAAGACCTAGGGCGTGGCCAATGCACGTTTATTGTTAGCTGCCAGTAAACATGCAGGCGGCGTCTGCAACCAACTATTGTTCGTTTTTATTTGTCTCGACAATATTTTTAAAATTTTGGCGTTTTAACGGCAATTAAGAGTCGGTTGTGTTCATAATGGTGCAATGTAAGTCACTAGCGTTATTCTCCTTAAAAAATCGCAACGCTCGGCGTTGCCTGCATTATTACTGGCTGCATCTATACACGTCACGGCGACAGTGTATTTAGTCGAACGTGTGTCACCTGCAGCGCGATTTATCAGCCGTAGACGCCGCCGATGACAGCGTGCGACGTCGCCGCCTTCACTATTCACTGGTTCCAATCTATGTATAATCCTGCGTGCCAGCAGTGAGAGAGTATTTCGAGATAAGACTAGATAGTCTAATGTGTTACCAGTAGCGCGATGTGTTCACCGTAGACACCATTGACGTCAGCGTGCGCACCGTCAGTGCGCGCAAGTATTTCTGCGCAGCGTGCGGCGTCACCGTCAGCAGCCGCATTCACTATTTACTGGTTGCTATCAGTAATCTCAGATACTAGCATAATATAGTGCAGCCTCTGTGGGATAGTCGTGGACGCCGTTGACGTCAGCGTACGCGCCGTCAGTGCATTGCACGCCAGTATCTCTGCGCAGCGTGCGGCGTCGCCGTCAACAGCCGCCTTCACTATTTATTGGTTGCTATCAGCATTTTCAGATACTAGCATGTAGTGCAGCCTCTGACATAGCCGTGGACGCCGTTGACGTTAGCGAACGCACCATCGGTGCACGTGAGTATTCTCTGCGCAGCGCGTGGCGTCGCCTGCACTATTTACTAGTTGCTTTCTTTAGTACTGCCTGGCAAGTCTAATAGTGTAGAACTGATGTGTTACCTGCAGGGCAGTGTGTCCGCCATAGACACCATTGACGTCAGCATGCGCACCGTCAGTGTACGTGAGTATTCTCTGCGCAGCGCGTGGCGTCGCCTGCACTATTTACTGGTTGCTTTCTTTAGTACTGCCTGGCAAGTCTAATAGTGTAGAACTGATCTGTTACCTGCAGGGCGGTGTGTCCGCCATAGACACCATTGACGTCAGCATGTGCACCGTCAGTGCGCGCAAGTATCTCTGCACATCGCGCGGCGTCGCCGTTAGCAGCCGCTTTCACTAGCTCCTCGTTGGCGTCTCCCGTCACGTGGGATTCAAACAGCTTCTTCAGAAGGGCCGAGAGACGCTCGCCTAAAAGTTAAAATGGCCACAGAAAAATCAGAAAAATGGGCATGTGGCTAGATAAGGACAAAATGGGTGTTGATCTTATTAAAGAGCTACTTTGCTAGCGGATTTTGTAAAGTTACTCTAAATAAAAATAAACAAAATAAGAAGATATTCATGTCACGAAATATCATGAAGTATTGACGTAAGTTGCTTTTATGTATCAACTTAGGAATTGCTTACAGTGCTGGAATTGTGTAAAGCAATCGTAATCATTTGACAGTTCATATCGTACGATTGGTCTGTCAAACGCTTTGTTTAACTGACTTTATCGTACGATATGAACTGTCAAACGATTACGATTGATTTACACAATTCCACCTCAAATTAGTTTTTCAAGGCGATTAGAAAAAGAGTAGGAGAGGGATTTCGGGTCTTACCTGACGAGTTTCCCGGAATGCTTCCATCAGATGAGGCGACTTTAGTGACAGCATTCGGGTTGTAGGTCCATGACGTGTTACACACTTCTACTTTGAGGTCGTTGTCGTGATATATTTGTTGCACGCGCCCAATTTTGCCGAGAGTCTAAAATGAATACATTAAAGTTACGACTTTAACCACTAACCACTAACTTAAGAATTTGTCGATAAAATTGATCATATTACTGCGCCTTAACGGGTCGGACACTGGTGACCGGACACACTGTATTTTGCATAGTGATTGGAGCACTAACTACCATTATTACTCTCATGCAGTAGTAGGGTTAAAATTATACTAGGATACAAATGCGCCCTTTGTTTTTTCAGTTTTTTGGTGCTCATGATTTGCCTCAAATTAAACACGACAAAATGGCGCCGAGTGTACCTAATCTCGGATATTTTTTATTTATTACACTTACTGGAGCCATAGCCTCGGCCCACTCCCCGTGGCCTCGCTGCAGCGCTTTAACGCGTTCCTGGTCCGCGCAAACCTGCACGAGATCGCCCACCGCGAAGCCCCCACCCGCTGCGCCGCCGGCCGAAGTCGACGCGCTCAGGTTACCGCTGCACACCTATACAGGGTGGAAACGATAAGTGATCTCACTCGATTATTTCTAAACTATACAAGATATCGAAACACTGGTTACTGATCCTGAAAGTGCTTCACGAGCTCTTTCAAACGGTATCAGTAATAGGTTACAGAATTAACTGGATCTATCCGAAAATTCAATGTTTTCAGGCTCCATACTAAATGTATGCCAGCCACACAATATTGGAAGTGTTAATATTTTTATTCAATAAATAAACACTTAAATTGAACTCCAAATTGCATTCTTATTTTAAATTATTCATAAAAAACATTGGTTTTAGGCTTTACTTGCTATAATATTATCAAGACATAAGTGCCATGACTGTGGCAGTACTAAATGTATGGAAGCTGGAAACATTGAATTTTCGGATAGATCCAGTTTATTTTGTAACCTATTATTGGTACCATTGGATAGAGCTCCTGAAGCACCTTTAGGATCAGTAACCAGGTTTTGGATATCTTGTATAGTTTTTAATATTATGTGATTTTACTAAATGTATGGAAGCCGGAAACATTGAATTTTCGGATAGATCCAGTTAATTTGGTAACCTATTATTGGTACCGTTGGATAGAGCTCTTAAAGCACTTTCAGGATCAGTAACCAGTTTATGGATATCTTGTATAGTTTAGAAATAATCGAGTGAGATCACTTATCGTTTCCACCCTGTATAACATGACTATTTTAATTAAGACCATTTGACACCACTAGTCAATTGAACTACACAATTGTCTTGTGAATGATGACGCTAATATCCTATAGTTCCAAGACAGAAAGTCTTTAAGGTAGTGATAAATATACAGACTTACTTCAGCTCAGTTTCACCTCAGACTTTACCACATATTTAGTGGAACATTCCAATGTGGACACAGTGGACCCAATTTGAAACATTCGTTAGTGGCATTTTAATGGCCATAAATCTGTAGTGATAGCTCAGACTCAGAAAAACTTGGGAGCTGTAATAGCTTATTATTTATGGTTTCTAATAAGGAGTCAGGTTAAATTAAAAATGTTACATGTAAGACAGCCTAATTTTACCTTAGGCTATATGTAGCCCTTACTAGTCATACCTTAGTTAACACAGCAGGATTGAAGGTCCACCTGTTACCACTGGCATAAGTCACCACGATATCATGATCCTCATCAATTCCGACAACAGTGCCAGTTGAGCCAAGGCACTCAAACATGCCGTCAGTCCATCCCCCATGACCATGTTGCAATGACTGCACTATTTCAAGGTCAAGGTCTACATTCACCTGAAAATAAATGTTATACGATTATTTCAATGTTAATTCGAATGACAGTAAGTCATTACCCATCAATTTTTAATTGTAGTAGTTGAATAAATGCAATGCAGCAACCATTCATACATATTTTGGTGATTTTAAAAATGACATCATAGCACTAAACATAATTTAAGTCATCAATGAGAAGTGATGAGTTAGTACAATTGATTCATCATTCATTACATACTTTGTATTTTTTTATTATCTAAAGTAGATATAAAAAGTAAAATGTAACTTACTTGATCTCCAACTTGTAGACCATGTGGCCCAGTACGCCCTGGGCCTAGTTCTCCCAACAATGGTAGATGTTCTTTATAAACATTCTGACCTTTTACATCATTTACAACCTGTACAGACATAATTGAAGTAATTACAGCCTCTTATGTAATAAAAAAATATATTTGTATTAGTTTGAAACAGGGATTTTAAAATATTTCAATCTAGGTAAGATGAAACCAGTTCACTGTTTCCACCTAACAGCTTGAAAACCACAGTAAACTTAACTAATTAGCAAAATTTTCTAACAGTGTAGGGTTAAACCTGTTTATGAGTAATTAGTTCCAGATATTTCTTCAAATGTTTGATGACTGAAGCTTTATACAATTAATACAAATGATAGTAGGTTTATATCAATCTGAGATACTAATCATACCTTGAGATCTGCCATTCCCTCAAACCCAACTCTGTATAAGTTCTTTGTACCATTATCCCAAACAACATACGCAGCTGAGCGAGGGCTGGCAGCTGACCAGTCCTGGACTTCATTCACTTTGCCTCTCCTGCCATTACCACCATCTTGGTCTTCCCATTGCCAATCCACCTTAAAAAGTTTAATGAAAACTTAAAGCCTCTAGACTAGTGATATGGTTAAAAAGTATGACAATCAACAGATCAATAGTAAAACTACCAGTAGTAATTAATTTTAAAATAATAAATAAGAACAGATAAATGATTATTAAATAATAAAATATTAACCCCTCTGACAACCCTGGCTCCAGGGAAAATGCCTCTGACGGCTTGTTTTTTACTTTTCCTTCTAGGCTCAACAAGGCACCTCTGTGCTCCTGGTGCACTGATGCGATAAAACCTGTGACGCAAATGATGTTTATCTCCGTGATAACACACTGAACAAAGATCATAATTACTGCATTCAGCACATTTCCAGCGGATACCTGGAAAAAACAATAATGAAATAAGATAAGTGAGAAACAACTAAAGTTTAAGTCATTCAAGTGGAAATATTTACCAAAAATTGGCTGCTGTCGACACGTGTCGCACATGGTGCCTTCGTGTTTAACACCAGTGGGTGCACTGTCCAATATACGTAAATCATAAGCTCCTGAACATCGATAGTTTGCTGCAGTTCCATTATCCCACACTACCACTACTTCTTCAGGAGATTCGAAATTACGAACCGTGCCAACATGACCCTCACCGCCGTCCTGCAAAATGTAATTTATTAGAAGATAGAAATCTGGCTGACTTGAGTAACAAATAAGTATAAAATATGTAAACAAAATTTTTGTAACGCTGCTAGCATTACCTGTTTGCCCCATTTCCAATCTGGCCCTCTTATTACACGAGCTCCAACCCCTTCCATCATAAACCTGGTAGCTCTAGAAGACGTAGTAGACCCAGAAACGCTAGCTTCCATTATTTTATTGGTATTTTTCTTATTTTGATCAGAATTTCGACGACTACACCTGTGATACAAAAGTAAGTTTTGACACTTCTAAAGTAGGTGACATTGACAGAAAGTTTGACACCAAAGATTTAATAACAAATGGAATACGCATTTCGCATCAACAAGCGATAATAATATTAAAAATACCTAATAAGAATTCTGAATACGCAACGCTAGATATCAGCGCTGCAGCGTGATAAGCCTAAACAGACTTCAATGACTTCTTATGGCTTCAACTCCCATTGAGCGATCTAAAAAGAAATAAAATGTGGTTTTCAGTTCCATATTTTATGATGTTCTCTTCATCGTATTATGAACTCACTGGAATTAACTGGAATATGACAGACATGTGTATTTGACATATGTCATCAGTGTCATTTCATGTGTCTGCGGAAGTTTGCGGTTTACGATTATTTTCATTTTTTATTTTAATTTAATTATTACACAATTCGAAAGGAAGATTATCCGTTTTGTGAAATATTTGTGTTAAATTTGCTTGCATATTTACGTTACAAAAATAAATCATAGTCCACTTAACTATTCTCCACACTTGAATTACATAAATAAAAATAGGGCAAAACATCTGGTCTGGTGCATTAATAGATCCAAGAAAAGAAATATCAATAATTATGACGAGTAATCGAAGCAAATATGAGAAAGCAAGGCGGCGGCTGGCTGCTGTAACCTTTTTGTCAAATATATCGCTTGATGGAACATTCAAGGACACAGAATTAGCTCAGATTGCAGAAAAGTCTCTGAAGATTGATAAAACTGACGCAGTGCGTGATGTACACAATGAAAAAGAGGTAACTCTTAGAAATGGCGTTCGCCCTAGATCTAAGGGACCACAAGCAAGTCCTGTGCACCGTCTTGGGGCTGATAACCATTCTTTGAGTTCTGACTCTGAGCTCACAGCAACAGTCACTCCTGTAAAAAGTAGTGCTACTCATGCATTTAGAGAGAGGTGAAGTACAAATGATTATAATCTTTAAAATTACAATTATTTTAAATAGAAAAACTGTTAATGACATATTATTCTATTCCAGATGTTCAACAGGAAACACAGACTCATTCAAAGATAAACATCCAGCTACTAAAACCAAGAAGGGTCATCTTGTTTCACTTACTGGAGCCACAACAGATGATAGAAGTAGCTCAGAAAGCCTGAACTTTGGTAAAGGTTATACCTACTTACACAAAGTTAAATTATTATACTGCAAATAAATTAATCGCACATAATTTATAATTAAATTAATAAATTTTCAGGCCGATTCCGCTCCAGCAACACTTGTATACCAGAAAATCATTTAGTAAATAAGGAGGTGAGACTAGTTCGTGCCACAAGAGGTGTATCATTCAAAGATGAAAGACTTGCCTTTGCCCCATCTCAAGGTGTGCCATGTGTGGTGTTCAGTACTATTCCATATTCAAAAACTATCCGTAGTGTACGGTAAGCAAAGCAACTTACATACAATTTTTTACAAATATTAATAAGAACTGTTTTTCCATTATTAAAGCTTTTATTATCTTATACAGTACTGATCTTAGAAAAGATGGTGTGAGAAGGCGTAATACATCTGGACCTAGACCACTATCATCAATCACTGACAATGGGGTAGATCCCTTCGATCTTCTTGGCTTAGAAAAAGAAGAAAATGGCCAAGATATTTCATACTCTAAATTGTTGGTGCCATCACGAGTATGCACAAGAGAACAATATAAAAAAATGTATGAAGGTGATTTCACTGATAAAGCCAGTTGGAAAATTTTAAATCGTCATCCCCATGTTATAGCCAGGTAAGCAATTTAATAAATAAGTAGGTACCTATTAATTACATAAAGTATGATTTTATATGCTTACACTTATGCATGTCTTTTAGACGATATTTTAGCCTCAATATCAAATCACTGTTTTTGATACACTGAATTATCTTATCTACTATGATCAAAATTAAAGTGATAGACACTTCATAACAGTGATAATATGTTGTATGTTTTGAATAACATTGTATTATTATTTAGTTTATTTAGGCCCTTATCTTTGTACATTACACTGAAACTGATATATCCAAAGAAGTGTACACCTCCTATAACTAAACTAAGTATAAATTATGATTTGTTTTCCAACTTTGATGTTGCTCCAATGGAAAAGTTATATTTTCTTATTATGCTTCCCTCTATTTTACCTACTACATCTAAGCCTACTACATAATAATACATGATTAAGTCCTCCCTTTATTACTTTTATTCATAAAACTGACAAGAATTTGTAATTTAGAAATGACCCATTCATAAGCAGCCAACTATAGGTGTACCAGAATCTCATGGCAAATAGGGAAAATAAACTTTGTTGAGAGCAATACTGGGGAAATTGGAATAAACGATCTTGATACTATTTAATTTTTTACTTTTATGACTTTTATATTAATGAACATGAAGTACGAATATACATTTTAGGTTGGTATGAGTATGAAGAATGTTGTTATAAATAAATCGTATATTATGTACTTAAAGTAACTAACTAATTTTATTATGCACCATACCTACTTTTAATTAACTTATCACTTCATTCAGAACTAGAAAACGATTCTAAGAACTCCACTTGCATTTCTTGTTCTTCAATAGATGATCAAGATAAAGAGGTGTTGTAAATAAATTGTTCTTCCAACATTTCAATGGAGAAGTTTCCTGATGTTAAAAAAAACTATATTTCTCTGAATGGGATTAAAATATATACCAAAACTAAAAAGACGGTGAAGTTTTTTTTAAAATCGTTCTAGAAATGTCTGGGAAATTAATTATTTAAATTACCTACATACTTATTTTAGCGTGGAATTGGAACAGTAGGCGGTGCCGTTCTTTTTGTATAAATGGCCAGGTCTGGGATATTTAAAAAAAGGTTACAACATTTTACTAAGAGAAAATCTTGAGTGACTTAAAAAAATAGAAATAGATTTAAAAAAATATGGATCTGTCAACAGCACTGGATCAGGGTGCCGATTACGGTAACTTTTATAACGTCTACAATCCAGACGCGTTTCTGATTCTGCGATACGATTGGTCAAAACAGCTGACGTACGCTGTTGAACGACCAATCGTATCGCAGAATCGAGAAGCGTGTCTGGATTGTTGACGTTAAAAATTACCGTAATCGGGGCTCTGGGGTGATTTACTGTTTGTACCCCAAATGACTGTCGTGCGTGAATACACCGATCAAAACGGCGTGAATAGTTATGCGCAACTTTAGGGCCCTGTAACTTATTTATTTGTAGAGATATTTTCATGATTCTTTCACAATTATTATTAGTTTTACTTATATTTATTTCAAGTTTATTTAAAAGAAAAAAATTGGAAACTTCTCCATTATTCAATCTTGCTTGATGAAATCTTTTTCAATTTTCTTTACATGGTCATAACATTTTGACCATTCCTCTGCACCAATTTGTGAGATATACCTGAAAACATCGATAAAGCAGCTATTAAGTAAGAATAAAAAAACATAACCCTCCTTCTGACGCAGTTGGGTAATAAGCTAAATGTATCAAACATTTCAGTCCAACTCACTGTCAACTCGACGGCGTGTTTAGAATCAAAGATTGACTTTGAATTTTGCCTTATTTTACAATTCACATTGAAAACAATATGACTTACTTGAGCTTTTTCGACTTTTTCACAAAAATAACAAATAGTCAAGAAGAGATTACAAAATTTTTGCAGCGACTGACAGATTTCATAATTTTCTTTGACAGGTGACAATTAAACCATAGACAATTGCCATATGAAAAACACACTTTTCCAATATTTTTGTTTGCCATGAGATTCTGGTACACCTATAGTAATGTTTATCTCAACTGAATTTGTTTCATACTGATTCTAAAAGTGATAAGATTATATTATTACATTTATGTAGGTAAGTACTTATAAACTTAAACTACATCATTCAGTTTATTGAATCATTCACATTACTACAAGCTTTGGTAATATTTATGTAATACACATGTCGCAGTCAGATTGTATAATCCGCCGTTTTACATTACAGCTAGGCATTTTGCATTACAGCTCTGTTTTGTAATACGGCGGCTTAACGTTTAGCCGGATTGAATACGGCTGAATGAAAATCCGCCGGATTGTATTCGGCGTCAAACGTTCTTCAATACGGCTAGCCGTAATGTAAAACAGCGTGTCATTACCCGCCGCTTTGAGCCAGTGTTGTTCCTGACAAATTTAGGGTTGCCGTATTTTAATTCTAAAATTGCCGGATTTTTAAGGAAAACTAAGAAAATTGCCGTATTGTATAAAATGTTTATTTGGAAGGTTTAAATTTAAAAAAATACAAGTGATGTATTATGTACTATGCGTATACTACTTTTAAACTTACTTATTTTATTCTTCACTTTTTAAGGTTTTGAATAATTTTGTCCAAGAACCTACCCGAATAAAAGTGAAGAATCTACCAAAATGAGGAAATAACGATTTTAGACATTAAAATCTCGGAGATAAGGTTGCATTTTTGGCGTTTCTTTTCGTGGCGCTTCTACTTCATCTATGGTTTACAAGTTTTTGCGTTCCATTAGACGAAATATTTATTTTTTGTTTACTAAAACTCATGAAAAACTCATAAAACTCTACTTTACTCAATTGCCGTATATTTTGATACGGTAATCAAAGTGCTGCCGTATACCGTATTTATGGTGCCTAAGATGCCTGAATGCCGTATATTACGGCAATTGCCGTATCAAGAACAACACTGCAATAATGAAATGTTTATTGTGATATTCAAAATGCATCAAATGAATGTTTTTAATTTTATAACAAAGTATATGCCTGTGTGTTATATCAAAATATAAATACTAAAATCACACTTCCATCCATTACTTTAATCAGTATTTATGTCTGTATGTGTGTCGCAGTCGGATTGTATAATCCGCCGTTTTACATTACCACTAGGCACTTTACATTACAGCTCTGTTTTGTAATACGGCGGTTCAACGTTTAGGCGGATTGTCATTGCGATACGTTCTTCAATACGGCGGCCCACGTTTAGCCGCATCGTACTACTATAGATTGTAGGGTGACCATACTTACAAAATAAAACAATGTCAAACGTTCTTCAATACGGCTAGCCGTAATGTAAAACAGCGTGTCATTACCCGCCGCTTTGACAGTTTTTAGTTCCTATTTTAAATACCGTGGCGCTGCCTGACATAACAACAACAATGGCATCGGATACAGAAATTGAATTGCTAAATTGCGCAGTTATTTGTGAATTTAACTGAGAAAATGTGATAATAATAATGTCTGTCGACAGTGACTTTAAGAATAATTATAATGTGCAATTAAATAATTCAATGTGGAACAGTAAAAATACCGTGGACGAGTTTTAGAGGTTATAACCCACATCAAAACAGCTAAAGTGGCTATGGATTCTGGTGTTCGGCGGAATCCTACACAATATTATTAGTGTAAAAATATGACATTATGGCTGTGGCCGGTGAAGATAATTTTATCTTAAAGAAAAATAACCCAGAAAAAATTACTAAAACTGTATTGTTTTGAGTTATCTGTCCCCTGTGATCATTTTTAATGTCTAAAAAAGACTAAAGCCAAATATCTAATTAATTCTTAAAATTTTTAGAAAAGTTTAATTGTTTTGAGTTACTTTTTTAGATGGCTATCCCTTGTGATTTATAAGTAAAAAAAATACTGAAGCCAAATATATTATTTAGTATACAGTAACGAAGATAATAATTCTAAAAATCTGTCTTATTAAAATTTCTTTTCATTAAACATTGTTTTATTTTGTAAGTATGGTTACCCTACAATCTAAATAGTACTACGATGCGGCTAAACGTGGGCCGCCGTATTGAAGAACGTATCGCAATGACAATCCGCCTAAACGTTGAACCGCCGTATTACAAAACAGAGCTGTAATGTAAAGTGCCTAGTGGTAATGTAAAACGGCGGATTATACAATCCGACTGCGACACACATACAGACATAAATACTGATTAAAGTAATGGATGGAAGTGTGATTTTAGTATTTATATTTTGATATAACACACAGGCATATACTTTGTTATAAAATTAAAAACATTCATTTGATGCATTTTGAATATCACAATAAACATTTCATTATTGCAGTGTTGTTCTTGATACGGCAATTGCCGTAATATACGGCATTCAGGCATCTTAGGCACCATAAATACGGTATACGGCAGCACTTTGATTACCGTATCAAAATATACGGCAATTGAGTAAAGTAGAGTTTTATGAGTTTTTCATGAGTTTTAGTAAACAAAAAATAAATATTTCGTCTAATGGAACGCAAAAACTTGTAAACCATAGATGAAGTAGAAGCGCCACGAAAAGAAACGCCAAAAATGCAACCTTATCTCCGAGATTTTAATGTCTAAAATCGTTATTTCCTCATTTTGGTAGATTCTTCACTTTTATTCGGGTAGGTTCTTGGACAAAATTATTCAAAACCTTAAAAAGTGAAGAATAAAATAAGTAAGTTTAAAAGTAGTATACGCATAGTACATAATACATCACTTGTATTTTTTTAAATTTAAACCTTCCAAATAAACATTTTATACAATACGGCAATTTTCTTAGTTTTCCTTAAAAATCCGGCAATTTTAGAATTAAAATACGGCAACCCTAAATTTGTCAGGAACAACACTGCATTATTGTATGCCACAGTCACATCATTTCATCACTAACAAATTTAAATTTCAGGACAAAATTATTGACGAGACACAAGGATAAAAAATGGTAAAAACATCAATTTCAAGTTCATTCTGCTATGCAATGCAATTAGATCTGCTAATTTAATTAAATATAATCAAAATTGAAAAGTATAATATACATTTTTTGCTAACTATTGATGATTATTAACACAACACTTCCCAATATTTTCTTAGATTCTACCTTAGATTAATAAAGCGATTCTACCTACATTACTGTCCATCATGAATAGGCGGTCAGCAATAAAATTTTCGCTGTACTTCTAAAAGCATGCAGGTAGTGTTGCAATGGTTGGGAGACACCAATAGGTGACTGAAAAACACTTATTACGAAATGACGCTTAGAACTCGAATCAATCTTAAGATGTTCGTCTGATTTCTCTAAAGTAAACCGTTGGTATTGGTATTCAACTAAATAAGGTTGAATCTACACTAGATGAGATTGATTGAGTTCTAAGCGACGCGAAGCGTTGTTTCTCAATGCCTTAATTCCAGCCAATACACCATTCGGCGATAATTATTATTCGAGTGAAAATTATTGCTGACTTAGGTATGAACTGTCGTAAAAGTTAGCAGAAAATGTGTACGTAGATATGGGTTAACATGGAATTATGAGCTTTGCCAATTAAATCGTATCAATACATTGAGCATAAATGCCACGCATTACCTACCACTTACACAATCAGCTAGCTATCTAATGATCTTTTATGTTTTGTAGTATAGTAAAGTAATACATAATGTACATAAAGATATACATAATCAATAATTCGATTAGAGAGAACTTTTTTATAAAACTTGTGTTAAAACTTTTTAAACTGCTTAAGTTATCAGTCTTCTTCAATTAAAATTATATCACAGTGCGAGGCTCTCATGCACATTTAATGAAAGCTCTGTATCCAAATTCTAAAGTTGCAACGAATATTCTTAAAGAAGTGGATACTTATCTAATATTCGGCGAGATCTCTAGCCATTGCATTGCATTGCAACGTTACTAATCACAAATTATATTATTCGCTGCAACTGAATTTACGATAGTGCATGGGTTTTGGAAGACTACTAACCAATATTATCACCTAACACCTATTAGAAAAAAGCGATAAAAGGTTGCGCTAGTCTACAACTCTAAAATAATCGCAGATCTTTTTACGCTTACTATTGAAAACAAAGTACATACATGCTATTATGTTACCCCGACGCCTTCAGTTACTATTAACAAATTTTTAGTTTAGAAAATGAAAGTAGTACCTAGTTAACTCTACACGCTCTCGATCTAAAATAGGAGAGGCAAGCGCTACCTTATAGCATGTCGCGTTATCCTAGCATGTAGTGCAGAACGGGGAATATGCAAGATATTATTTAACTGTAAAATAGGTTTTTTTTATAGGTCCATGTTTTAATCAGAAAAAGTTACGTCTTTTATAGCGAAAAGTTGGTAATACTGCTTTCATTTCTTGAATTGTACCTACTAATTAACTTTAGATCGATCTTGATCCGGATTTGACTGTTAATTTAATTTTATACATTTTACGAGCAGATTATATAGGCTAATAATATAATGTTCATGCTTATTCCCTATTTTTCCTAGTGTTTTAAGAGTCGTATTTGTACCTATACAGGTGATCAAAGCTTGTGATGTAGGATGACTGTAGGCCCCTGTCAATTTACGCGTCTACACGCCTGTAGATTACATTTTTAACAGTTTTAGGATTGCACGCTCTTTGATTTTATTAGAAAATTATGATTATAAATTTTAAAGTTAATTAAGTATAAAAATGCATGTATTTAGCCATTAGGTGCATGCTTTCCAAGCATATCACAGTCGGGTGTAAATACACTTGGAAGTTTTCCACAAATATTTTATTTCCCTAAGTCATTTGAATATACAGGGTGCATTAATTCGTTTCCGATATTCTCTTAGTTTAAGAGGAACCTATTCAGACTGAGATTTATAGAAAAGACTGTATTATTAATGACACTCAGGCAGGGACGACAAGGAAACATATTTTTTCCCTAGATCTGACCTGAATTTTGTCCCTAGACCTGACCTGAATTTTGTCAAATAGGTACCCAGTTCGAAATGTAAATTGTTGTGTCTATACTATTCTCGTATTGAAAGCGGTGAATAACTTCATAAAATAACATCAAAGACTTGAAAGATCACCTACCGAAAATTCACAATTTCCAAAGCTTGCTACATGCAAAGCGGCAACCAACGGCACAAGAATTGTATGTCATCTTAATCGCCATGTATGGTGCAATAGTTCATGTGAGTACCAGCCCTTCAGTTCTATTCAGTTAAAAAAAAATCCACTTTAAGTGTTTAGTTCCATACAAAAAAAATTAAAATATTTTTTTTCTCACACATGGAGCTCCTCACACTCTTCATACTATATTAGTAAAACAAAGGGAGGTATACTAAACACAATACATATTTTTATTTATTAATTTCTGACATTAAGTTTCTATGGTATGGGAGCTTCATTCTCAGACCACTGTGCGCCGGCAGCGTTCGGATCGGATATAATGACGTCATCGTCCCCGCGCCGGGCGGTCAGTTAACTTTTTTAGTAATTTGGCTATAACTTCGTCAATTTTTGTCGTAGAACAAAAATTTTTGCACTGTGTATGAAGGATTTCTTAGCCCTATAAATCTGCATTCACAGCTAAAAATCGAAATGATCCTCATTGTTGTGTCCCAGGTGCTTTTCTTACGAATCATCTCAGAGGACTACGATGGCGTCTTCGCCACCGCACTCTACCGTTGAAATGAAAACCTTTGACTGGGATGAGGGATCTCTGCTGTCGCAGAAATTTGTAAGTAGAAGTAACTTCTATTAACGACTACCTTAGGTTACTGCAATATTGACTCGTATTAACAAGACGTTAACGCCTCTTTTACAGGTACACTACTGCCCAAATGTCTTAGATGACCCAGAGCTCATAGCAGGGAAACATCGGACGCTCCTGACCTTTACGTCCTACATGACTTCGATTATCGATTACGTGCGTCCGCAAGACCTAAAGAAAGAGTTAAATGACAAGTTCAGGGAGAAGTTTCCCCACATTAAATTGACGCTTAGCAAACTGAGAAGGTACCTGAATACGTACTTCTTTTCTTTAACTTTGAAACGCGAACACGCTTTCTCTTTGCTGCGGCCAGTGTGGTCACAATCAAGGAATGAATTTATGTTTCCTACTCTCTTTTACTCTACTGCTTGAATTAATGTGATTCAAATTTTAGTAACAGCTTGTGCATTATGTTTTGTTTTGCTTTTACAGTATCAAAAAAGAAATGCGAAAAATTGCCAAACACGACAATGGTGGGATTGACTTGCTATCTGTCGCTCAAGCTTATGTTTACTTTGAGAAACTCATTCTGGCGAATCTAATCAACAAGGACAACCGCAAATTATGCGCCGGAGCGTGTTTGTTGCTGTCGGCTAAATTGAATGACGTCAAGGGTGAAATGTTGAAAGCACTTATTGAGGTAAGATATTTTAATTAAGCAAATCATTTACCAACAATAGATTGAAACATCTGTCAGCACTATTCAACATCAACATTGAATGTTAAAACTAACCTATACTTTACACGTTTATAAATAGAGACAAATACCAATATTTTTAAAAGCTGACATACAATTGATTTACCTATTGATTGATAGAAAATATCGTTATTATTTTAGCGCATCGAAACAACGTTCAGAGTGAACAGAAAAGACTTGATGAGATTCGAGTTCGCTGTTCTCGTGGCGCTGGAGTTCGGCCTGCACGTGCCTCCTTACGAGGTGTTCCCCCACTACCAGGTACGGTATTATCTGGTATTACGGGTTATTGTCGTTTTGCCACATACATAGTCGACTCATCACAGGAAAATCATCTGTAAATTCATCACTCTCCATATTATATTTATCATGACAAATGGACGCGTACCACATAGGTAGTCACGTTTACGACGAATCATCTTAGTGGCAAAAATACTATGAATGATCAGAGCAGTCACCCGGTAAACGAAAACGTAGTAGATTCAATTCCCGCCTGAGTCAATCGATTTATTCAAGTTTAAAAAAAATAGTTTGAGATGTAATTCTTAAATGCCCAATATTTCTAGCAAATAATTAAACGATTCTGACTAATTTTTTTTTTTGTTCATATGTTCTTTCTGGAACAACTAAGGTCAAAGACCATGCTGCCTAGTCATTCATCTTCTTGTCTGACCAATAAACGGATGTTCGTTTTCCCACCAGCGGCTGCTACACGACTCGTGACCCTGGCGCCGGCTGGCCTTCGAGCCATGTGCGCGCGTGTGCCACCGCCGCCGCGCCAGCATCGTCGACAACCTCCGGGCGAGCGCTTGGATGTAAACCCAATTGATAAAACGGTCAGTGAGGATGACATTAGACTAAACGCTCATATTAGCCAACAGTGACTATTGAATGCTGACACTAAATGCTCATTAACCAATAGTGACCATTGATTAACTGATGTGCCATCGCGATGCACCAGTATCTTTCGATAATCAAAATAAAATTAAACGATTCCATTCGACCAATGGATGCTGACATTAGACTAAATTATGCTCATTTAATAACGATAATAATCTTCGAGTTGCGTAACATGTGAATGTAGCCCCACGTTGCGCATGCGCACCATCTTTGACAACCTCGGCGGGGCGAGTGCTTGGATCTAAACTCGAACTGCTAGCGGGGACGCTGACATTAGTTAGTCGACTACTGGATGCTGATATTAGACTAAATTATGCTCTTTTGCCGACGGTGATTTTTGAGCTATGTACGCACAGAAATGTGCTACAGTGATTCGCCAGCTTCTTTCAAACAAAATACTGTCAGCGAAATAACTGTTCATTTGCCAACGGTGACCATTGAATGCTGACATTAGACTGAATGCCTTTCGCATTGCGCCATAGACAACTTCAGAGTGAGTCCTTTAAACTGTGTGCGGTCACTTGACTATTGAATGCTAAATGGTAAATTAGACTAAAATACACATTTACATTAGAAAATTGAGCGGTGACTGAAACTGCTTGACAGAATAGAAATAAAACTGCATGAGCTCCATCTACCATTGAATGCTGAAATAAGATCAATGTTTACTATACATATTCATTGTAGTGAACCTGAAAATTAGCTGGGTGAATTCTATAACTTTATTATAATATATAATATACATAAATATAATACAAATATAACTTTAGTACAACTGCAGTTTAGTTTTTAATTCGAGTGGTCAAAGTCGGCGATTTTCGATAGCCATAATTTAATTCGGCTATTTCTGATATGGCCTAAGAATCATATCTGTCAGTTTACTCAAATTAAAAACTAGATAATTATAATTGCGTAGGTATACTGTAAACATGTAATTTACTATCCAATAAAAGAAAGCAAACCGCCCCATATACACAGGGTGGCCGTAGAAGTGGCGTCCAAAGCAAAATTCTGGATTCCTTATGACATGGCCTGTCTGAGTCATCCGGATGCACAGTCTAAGATTGCTTGTATTGTCCTGATATTTGGAATCATTATTTTATGCCTTTGACGTAATTTTTCCGGTCACCTAAATGTAATTTAATGTATTTTATAACGAAGTAGTTAACGTAGATGAGTTGTAAGTATTCAAATTAAAATTAATATTTTAATAGAAGACTCTTGTTTCAACTGTGGGATGCGAACTGTTTAGCACAAATAACTTAAACAACGATTAAGAATTATCGTTGCTGGGATTATTATTAGAAGTAAACGTGTTGAAAGTTTAACAAAGTGAATGCTGTATGTAGCTTAAAATGTGATTAATTGATTAATACGCTTGTAAACATAGCTTTAGCTCCCTATAATGTTCCTAATGCCCGTTTTCACCATCAATCCCTAATTTAAAAGCGACCCCTATGAAATCAAAATTCCTGTTTTGTGTTACCATAGGGGTCACTTAAAAATTAGGAATTGATGGTGAAAATTGACATAAGTGTCCTAAATTAGGTTTGGAACATAATTATTTGTAGTTATATCCTCTTGCCTATTGCTCTAATTGACTTCGTTTTACCCGTGGCCCCACTACATTGTCGGCCGTTTGGTGTAGTGGTTCAGAGCGGACTACTATGCCGAGAGGTCCCGGGTTCGATTCCCGGCCGGGCAGAAATTGAAATGATGAATTTTAATTTCTGTGACGGGTCTGGGTGTTACTATGTATAATATGTATGTATTTAAAAAAAAGTATATAAGTAGTATATCCGTTAAGCTAGCACCCATAACACAAGCATTAAGTTGCTTACTTTGGGGCTAGCTGGCGCTGTGTGAAATGGTCCAAAGATTTTTTATTTATTTATTATATGCCACTAGTGGATTTACGGTTATTTATTTTGAGACGTACCACATTATTTATTCTAATACAGTGAAAAATTAAACGTAGAGAGCTTGGGACCACGGGTAAAACCGGTGATTGCCATCTCTTCAAAACTTATACCGCCTCATAAGTGCCCAATTACAAACTTCTCGATATTAGCTTGTGCCCTTTTACCTCTACTAGTATTACTAGTGTAGCAAATAGCTCTTACTATGATACTTATTTTCTTATGGGATTTCTGCCTATATCTAAGTATTTTATAATCGCCTGTAATATTCAGTTCAACATTGTTAACCGTTTTACACAACTGTTGTATGCATATCCATTGCATATTCGATACGCCTCAATGCCCGCCTTACTGCTTACGCATACAAGTAACATTACATTTTAATGAACCTGAAGTGAAACTGAAAAATGTCCAAATTAACTCATTAGAGTCCACGTATTGCATTAATCAAGTTTTTAAAATTTCGAAAACTACTTAAATGGCACTGTATGAACTATGAAATCAATATCAAACCGCATTTGTGTTTTACAAAAAATATTGCAAGATTATTGTAGTAACTCTGACCTTTGTATCTTAATACTTTGATTGTTGATGGTTGATGTAAAAACCCTTTGTATCTTAATACTTTTGTTTTTTGTAAATTTTTATTGGCGGGTTTGTATGACATTTTAATGTAGCTATTAAACGTAAGTATGCCATTAATTTTAGTTCTTACTACTCTCATAACTCCAATATTTTATAAGTAGTATGTATGTATGTATCGGCTTTTTAACTACGCATATTAATTTTAAATGTAAAATTAAATAAACTACATAAATGTATAAATATTTAAGAGGCAACTCGCTAGCAGTAGGTAGTAACTAGTCATAGTGGTTCTTTCGATTGGTGATATAATTTGGTACGATTTTATTATTTTTTGTATTGTTAAGGTGCACAAAATTAATAATTGGATGGTTGTTATGCATTTTACAGCGGTTTGTCTTGCCAAATAATGAGAATTTACTTCAGTATTAAATCAAAAAGCGATGGATTTAATTAAATTTAAATAAAGTTGAATTCTGCCATGACATATTTCTGCTGAGGTGATCAAATTCAATACCTATACTATACTTACGAGCAAAAGTATGGAATCACGCCGTTGTGTTTGGTTTCGAGCCATCTTAAGAACTGAATGATTATGTATGTATTTATAATATCAATTTAAAGTATAAAACATTACCTTTAAAATGGTACCATTTTTATTTATCTTTTATTAGTCATTTAGTTCTTACGATCGCTCGGAACAAGTATGGTGATGCCATACTTTTGCTCGCGAGTGTATTTTGTCAACAATATGACTTAAGGCGATTAGTGTCCTCANGTTGAAACGATGTAATAGATAATTTATTATTCATATAGTATAAACAAAGTATAACTGTGATATACCTACCTAGTTATTCTGTTAAATACGAATTTGCCGACAAAGTTATTCTTATACCAAATTGATGACATTATGCAATGAAAAGTAATTAAAGTTAAAGTCATTGTTGTTATTTATTTATTTAAAGATCTTAGATCACTTTAGTCAGGCTCTGAAGGGTCGCCTAACAGGAAAACCTGTAATTAAATTTAATATTTATCTTATTGTTTTAGAGTGTCTTCTTGTTAATAACGTAATGGCATTTTGTTAAATAAATTTATTCCTATTTGTTTGAATAAAATGCTCTTATTTTTATTTTATATGCATGTTTTATTTAACTGTACCTCGGTATTATAAACCATTCCCTAGCGAAATACCTAGTTAGTGTTGTAATGAAGTTTTTTAGACAAGCGAGCAACTGGAATTGATTTATTATTTATGTCTTACACTAGAGTACCTTCACGATAAGTACCGATCAAGAAGCCTATAAATATCAACAGACCTGATGCAACTAACTAGGTGTAATGTTATTCCATTACAGCTGCTATAGTACTTAATTACAGTTTCACTAACTGCGTGTATTACAGGCAGTAAATAGGATATACTTAATTACCTGTTTCTATACTTAGAAAGTGTATTTTCAAAAAACAGTGAATGATTGATGTTGTTGTACTAATTACCTAAATTGACGGTCAGAAGGTGGCGCGGTATCTTAAAGCAACTAAAAAAACTGTTATAGATTAGGTTAGATTTCTGTTTAGAGTTAATAGAAAAATAGATTTTCTACACGTACCTAGGTAGGTACGTGTAGAAAATCTATTTTTCTCTAGGTAGGTACCTTTTTATGTGTGTGTCAGGGCTACAGACTGGAGAGAGTATGCTGCTCTCGCAATCCCTTGATCACCCAAAATAAGTTTGAAAGTTCTAGCATTATATTCTGTGGTTCTAGCGTCACATACAGGGGAACCTGAGTAAAAATTCACAATGTGAAGAATAATAATCCTGCCACGCAAAGAAGTTTCATACCTTGGCAGGACTTTCTTAATTACAACATAGATAATGTTTTGGTTGGCTGCATGTATTACAATCCGTTTACACTGGCAGTATCCACATATGTCCTAATAACATGAAATAGCCATCCGCTCTAAATTGCATTGTTCATTTAAGCGACGTAAAACCATTTTTCTACTCATTCACGCGTTGATGTAAGAAAGAACCAGTTGTAAACAAAATGAAGTTAGATATGGTAAAGTTTCAGTGGTGTTTTTATAAAAATGGAACTGAAGAAATATTGTGATCTCTGTTAGTGTGATATCCTTAATCAAATGAAATGGTTTTCTGTGTTCAGGCAGTGGTGTTACTGGCAAGCCTTTGTGTGGCAAGGGCTTCCTCGGAAAAGGAAGATAAGGTGCAATTAGCACGTCATCCTGATAATATATCCAACGAATCTCCGGAGTCAAATGTTAGTTCAGGCCAAAGCTCAGACCTCCAGAACGAAGCGACTGTGTGGCAACACTGGAAACCAGGGAGGCTGTTTAAATTAGGTTAAAATCTTCTTTTGTTTTATTACATTACTTATGACATTCAACCTAGTGATGTCCACTGCTGGACAAAGACCCCTCCCCCCTAATATGTTAAATAATAATAACTTTCTCGGTTCTAGGTCGTTCTATGATAAACAAAGGGCTATCACACTCTGGTAATATAGCAGAGAGTGCATTGGAGAGACGTTACCGCTACGCTCAAGAGCCACATAGACGTAAATTAAAAAATAAAATAAAGTTCCTTTTCAAAATACATCAATTTGAAACTTAGAATCATAATGCGACTTTTATTTAACAAAACCCTCAATAACACAATATTCAATTTACTATTTCTGCGGATGGCGATGTTATTTTAGCTTTGGCACTATTTCTAACGAAAGGCATCAATCATAACAAACATTACATTAACTTAACATTAGTAGCTAGTATCTTTTCAAAATACCTATCTAGAGAGACATCGTCAAAAATACTAATGGCGTGATGTTAACACATAAATTACGCAAGGGGTTCTGGGTTCGGTTCCCGGTCGGGTCAGTTTAGAAAACGATCTCTTCTAATTTGTCATGATGCACCTTTTCGGCAAATGTCTGCTTAATCAATAAAATTACTGATCGAAACGCGCGAGCTAGATTTCTCGACACTTGGGTCATAGACTTAAGTAATTTACTTGTCGNATTACCTTTTTTACTTACCTACACATTGGATTGGCAATTTAGTCAATTCAAAATCATAATTTATAAAAAGTATATTGTCATTAATTGTCACGTTTCACGAGTTTTCGTAATTTACAATTTATTCCTTTTTATTTCCTGAAAACTTTAACAAATAATGTACTACGTTGATTCCCAACGAACCGTCACACGGCGCGACAGTTCCCTGATTGTGTCGCGAAGGTATACCCCAGATGACTATGAGACTCTATCTACAGCTCGTGGTCCTTCTACCATTCCGTTGACGAGCGAATCAGGAGCATCCCTTACCACACGCCCCAAAGGGTCAACCCAAAAGGAGCTGGTCACCATGCTATTCGAGTCAATGCTGGATAGCATTGTCAGCTCTTGGGAGGTAATAGTGCAACAAAAACCGGAGGAGAGCTCGCCTAACATGGAATTCGGGAAAACTCCTAGTGAACTTACGTTCACCAGTAAAAAGAAGAAAAGTAACGGTTAGCAAGAATAATTTTAAGTAAATTTCAGTTGCACCTATCTTATCGAATAGGTAGGATGTAAAATGTGCGGAAATTTAGGTACAATGAAAGTAACGTAAACCTTTTTTTCTAGTCAAGCCACCTCCATCTAAATCCAAAAGATCGAAATTGGAGCTATCAGACATTGCACAGGTGACATACTTACTATAAATGAAGTTCCTTCTGTGGGACAACGGGTACCTACAATATGTAAATTTTACAATCATTCAAGTAGGTAGGTACTTACTGAGTCAAATTCTTCCAATTTCATAGGAGCAAACAGATCCACTGCAGCACACCTGGTGGTCGTCCCCGGATGAGCGCGCCATCATTAGGTTCCGCAACGGCAATGTCTACGAAGGCAGCATCTCCATGAAGTGTATGCACGGTGAAGGTCGTTTTCAGTGGGCTGATGGGACTGTGTATTTGGTAAAATTATTATGAAATACTTAAATTTAGGTACCATACATAATTTGTAGGTACAAAAACTTTTCCTACCTATTTGAATCCTAATCTCGTCATACTTTAGGGTCAATTCCAAGGCAACCAAATGAATGGTAAAGGGATAATACAATGGAAGGACGACACTTGGTACGAAGGGGATTTCGTCGGGAACCTGCGCCACGGCCGAGGTCTGTACGTGGACTCCAGAAAGCAACGGTCGTACGCAGGCGGGTGGTATTGCGGCACCAAGCACGGCCAAGGAGTGATTTATTATTCGAAGACTTTCAAAAATTCTTATGACGGTGAATGGGTCCATGTGAGTCATATTTATCTAATAGAATACTAAATATTCTCTAATTTAAGCGTGAACTAATTACAAGATTGTGCTATACCTACACTATTTTTTATACTTGCAGAATGTCCGTCATGGATTCGGCTCCCGTGAATATTGTCCGCTGAGTGGTTATAAAGGCGAATGGGACAAATACGTCAGAGAGGGCAAAGGCCTAATGATATGGCCTAATCACGATGTGAGTGTTTTCTAAACAACCGCCAGAGGAGACCCAGTATGCATGAATCTCTTCGCTATTTCGCTTTAATTTACCAAAACTTATTTCAGTTTTATAGAGGCGAGTGGAAAAATGGAGTAATGTCTGGATATGGAATATATATTTGGGATGCCTATTACAATAACGCCTTATCGCTGCCATCTATCAGTGCCTATCGAGGCCATTGGACTAAGGGCCAAAGAAATGGATACGGTGTTCTAAATTTGGGACTAGGGTTGGGTTCTTATTACAAAGGTGAATATAAGAATGACAAAAAACACGGTGTTGGGAAATTTGTAACCAATAATGGTTTGATACTTCAAGACAAGAATTTATTCATCGATGATAATATCGGACCACTCAGTCCAGATGAACAAGAGAGTGGATGTCCTTCTCTAGAATACAAACGGATGGTGTTAGAAGAACCTTACAAATTCGATATTTGTGACAGTACTGTAGGTCTCCTGTATCACGTGCAGGATGCCATACGAAATATTGATAAACAATTGGAAACAAGGGCAAATATCATTAACGAATATATTGAAAATAACAAAACCATTGAAGCAGATGTTTCCATGGCTGCGCGTAAGGAAGACCGCCCAGAGGAAGTTGCAATTAACATGGAGGACTTGATTGATTTTGAAGAAAGTTCCCTACGCAAATCGTTGAGATGTTACGAGACTGACTTGAAAAATATTTACTTCAAATACGCAACCATTTGTAACAGCGAAGAAGTGCATTTTACACCAGTACTAACAAGGTTGTATTTATGGCAATTCTATTATGATTGTAATATTCACGATAAAGGTTTGACATTAGTCGATATCGATAAGATGTTTCATCGCAACCCGCAATGGTTGTCGAGGTCACCCCACAACCCTTTTGAAAAGATATATTTCTGGCAGTTTATCCACAGCTTGATATCTGTCGCTAGTAAGCTGTACGCAAAGAGAGAGCTCCCAGGGCCAAAACCAGATACTATCCTCGCAAGTGCATTTAGAACTTTTATGGGAAAGGATGTTCTGCCCAACGTCGGTCGTCGTAAAGGTATTCCATTTTTGTCTCACTTGATTAATAATTTAAATTCAAGAGATAAAATTGATTTAATGTAAGTAATTAATGTAAGCTTAAAGCCCTATTATTTTTATAGGTCGATTAGTTGACGGTTATGGACAATTTATACCTCTGAAAGGCCTATACGACTTATATCGCCGACTGAATGAACCTCATACCGTGAGAGACTTCCTATGCGCTATCCGCCGAGCCCCGCACTACATGGACCACCCGCAACCACCACTCATAGAGGCACCCGACCACTGCTTGCCTCTTGGTCGTAACGTTTACATATTCGGCGACGAGATGACATTTGTTTCTGGTAAAATATTTTAATTATAACACACAGTCAGACAGTAACTGTATGACGACATTGTACAAAAGTACCTACTAATGGTGATTAATGAAAACCGACACATTATACGGATTTTTTTTGTTTCAGATGAAGTTTTGCGTCCCGAATGTGAATCAAACAGTTTCGAAGAGTTCGAAGATCTGAAGCTATTCAACTTCGGCAACTTATCTAGCAAAGCTGTCATAAAGATATTTGCGAATATCTTCCCTCAGCTGTGCGAAAGAAACAAAATAATGGACTTGGATGTAGGGATAACATTCTTTGAATTTTTCGAAGCTTTCATAGCATGTGCCGAGGAGAGCATCCGCGTGAAGGATGAAGAAATGCGTTGGCGGGAAAAGTTCTCAACTGCCGGGAATATGCCGGATTCGCCAGTCCATGGCATACATACGCCTATTAAAAAATAGGAATGTTTAAATTTTTAATTTTATTGAATACTAAATTAAATGGCAGAACCTTAACTGTTGTTTTAATTAAATGTCGTGTGCAAGTATAGGTAGATAGACAGATAGGTAACACTTTATTGTACACCACACAGAACAAGAAAAGAAATAAGTACACAAATGAGACAGCACAATGACTCGGTCTTATCGCTATGAAGCGATATCTTCACGACGACCTATAGGACGTAGGACAGTGAAGGGATTGCGATAATACCTACTTAATAGGGACTTTTTGTTCATTAATAACATTCGTGTAAAGCCTGCTTTCTTCTTTGCTACTGACAACAATCAATGTCACACATAATTGTGAATGTCATTTTGATGCGATTTTAGGATTAATTATAACCACGCTATTTATATTACTCGAGTATTATTATCATTTTATCAACGTTATAAAAATATACAACATACAAGATGCGAACCAAAAACCCTATGGCTAAAAAGCCGCAACAGATTTTATTCTCGAAGAATTGTTACGGGCCCAAGACTAAAGTCGAGAACTGGGATTTTGCGATACACGCGGAGAAAAAGGACAACTACGTGTATCGGGACAACTTGAGCAACCACGTGAGCACTTACGTGCGATGGGGCAACGAGGACCAAGGCGTGAGGATGACGGAGACGCGGCACATGCTCGCACAAGTGTTCACCAAGACAGACCCAGTTTACTCGTTCAAGCCACTGGTTAACTTTACATCCTACCCCTGCACAGAGTAAGTCCATTTATTAGTATATTTTTAAATACCTTTGGTGTATTCCTTGGTTAGAGTTGCACTGAGACCTGGATCCTCGTCCCATTGTGAAGTGCTTACGAGCAGAAAACCTAATTTAGCAAAGGCCAGGATGAAGAACTAACCGCTCGCGTTTAATAACTTTGGAGACGCAATCAATAAAATTATTAATAAGTACCTTACATTTTACGTTTCCAGTACACCTGGGAGAAACAAATTAATGAAAAATGCAGATCTAGCACAGCTGCCAGCTGATTTTGGAGTGATGGATTATCTGTCAAACCAACAGGACGATTACCGAAATCCCTATCCATCTGTTGCTAAACCGGTTAGTTATATGATTACTTATGCATTTGTAACCACTGGATATGATGCAGACTAAGTGCAGTATGCATACTGCATTTATTTATTAAGTATTTATAGCTGGTTTATTTTTTACAGAAGTAATTATTTATTTATTTTAAACTTAAATGCACAAAACATTGTACATAAGGCGGACTTAATGCCTTTCAGCATTTTCCTCCAGTCAACCTTAGGGCCAAACTGAAAATAAAGTAGGCGATATAAAATTGATATTTACTCAGATGAAATAAGATTACATAAATAACATATTAGGAATAGATACACAGTTGGTTCATTGCATAAACAGATGCTTTTTTAAATTTCGGATCTGACTTTACCTCTATTGCTATGCACGTGCCGTTAATCTGAATTCTAAGGGACGTACGCGCTTAAAAAGTGTACCTACAATTTGCGTCTGACTTAAATTCATGTCTTGCGTTTGATTTAAGGCNTTTAAATTATTTTCAAATATTTCAGTTAATGATGGAGACTCCCCAGTGGCTGCTGAACCGTGTGATTCGTTCGGACTTGACGCACAACCACGGCACGGCCCCGCCCCGCGGCGACTACCAGTGCCTGGACACGCACACGCCCATCGGACACATCCGCCAAATGAGGCTGTTCCGCTACCAATCCTTCAACCCCGCCACATGTCTTCAAGACTTTCCCACCTTTGAAAAATCTTTAGACAACAATGAAACGAAAAATTAAAAAATACAAACGATTTATTACACGACATAAAAGCAAAAGTTTCTTAAAATAATAAAGACAAAAATAATAATTAAACAAAACATACGAATTCAAACAAAACTCATCATATCTTCAATATAATAACCACAAAACAATTAAGAAATAAAAAATATAGGAACACAGGATTCCATTAGAAACTTGATTTTCTGAAGTGAATTACACCTAGTTTCTAATTGATTTATGCCCGAGCCGGAAAAAATCGTTGTTTGACAGTATTAAAATAAATACGTATGTAGGTATATTTTATAAAATTATTTGTAAATTCTCACTCTATTAAATACAAAATTAAATGAATGATCCTTAGTTAACTTGTTTCATTTGCTATATTGTTAACTCATAGTTATTATTCTACTAAACAACAACGAAAAGGAAAGCCCGAAAGGTGTTCAGCAAGCAAATCTTTACTTTTTTTTAAATATTTATTTATTAAGAATAGTTAAAGCTGAGCCTAACCGAGCGTAAGAGTTGAGCTTTTTTTGGTTTTTTTAAACTGTAGAACGCACTGTCGCACATGATAACTATAGATATGTTTATTTATTTAATAACTAGCTTTCCGCCCGCGGCTTCGCCCGCGTGGATTTTTGTCTGTCACAGAAAAACTTTATCGCGCGCGTCCCTATTTCAAAAACCGGGATAAAAACTATCCTATGTTCTTTCCCGGGACTCAAACTATCTCTATGCCAAATTTCATCAAAATCGGTTGCGAGGTTTAAGCGGGAAAGCGTAACAGACAGACAGACAGACAGACAGAGTTACTTTCGCATTTATAATATTAAGTTGGGAAGTTGGGATTGTGAAAAATTAAAAAGTTTAGCCGTCTGGACTAAAAATATACCCTTCTGACCCGTGGAACACCAAAGTGGTACACCTAGGTGTTCCATGGTTAATTTATTGTACCCCTGGTTCACCTAGGTGTTCCACGGTTAACTTCTTGTACCCCTGGTTCACCCTGGGTGTTCTGCTATTCAAAATAATGTACATAAAACAACAATAATTATTCTTAATATTCCTAGCAGTATTTAGAAATTGTAGGTAGAGCTATGCTGTGGGCCCATTACTAATTAAAAAGTAGCATGCATGTTATTTATAAAATATATTACTAATTACTAATAACTAAATTACTACAATGAGAAAAAGAATGTTGTGTGTAAATTATGTTTTTTATCAAAAAATGAATTTAATCAAAAAATTACCGAGTGAAGTAATTCGCTTTCTATTTACTGCTGGAATAATTGAATAATTACATACTCCAAAAAAATTATATCTGTTACTGCTCTACCCAGTCTCTTTTGCACAATTAATGAATAGATCAACCAATCTGGCTGACTTGAAGTTAGTTATTAGCCTAGGCGCAGACCATTGATTTTTCGTCGGCCGATAGTTTAGTCGGGCAGTTGATCAGTATGGAAGTTGTGCGCACATTACACCGATTTGATTTGGCCGATTCTTCATACAAGTTAAAATCGAGCCCAACTATCGGCCAACTAAAAATCGGTGGTCTGCGCCTAGTCTTAGGTTTTGAGTAATTGTTTCTCAAAAAAAACAAAACAGGCAACATAAATAAAAAAATAGTAAATTATCACGTTAAAGATTTTTCAGTTTTATGTTGGCCTTATTAAAATCTTTACTGTCAGTAATATCCTTTGCTGTAGGTTTTATAAGATAAAAATATGCATAAAACAAAAACTAAAGCAAACTACATTCTTATAAAATATTTTTTCAGTAAAAGGATTAAATTAAATAACTATATTATGTTGCATTAAATATTATTATTACTGACAATAACAGGATAACTAGCATAAATCAAATATTATAGAGGTGAAAATTGAGATACATATTAATGTGTGCGCCTTCGTTTGAAACCTTTACCCTTTTTTGACTTGATTTTATGCTTACGAGTAGCTGCTGATCGGCCTGTGATTTCATCTGCTAGCATACCTACAGTTGTCAGTTTACGTCTGCGATTCTTCTCAGCTTTCGTGACAGGTAAACGTGTAAGATAATTTTCTTCATACTCTGTTTTTTCTTGTTCCTGCTTAGATATTGATTGCTTGATTTGGTTTCCTGAACTTACCTCCATTGGTGCTTCTGAATACTCATCTCGGAGCTCTCTCATAACACTAGAATTCAAGAATTGTTTTTTTGACTTTTCTTTGTTTTTCATTTCACTCTCACGTTTTGATATGCTATCATCATAATGCACAGCTGCCAATTTTGGAGGTACATAGATATTAGATTTGTTTGCTTTGTCTTTCTTATTGTCCCCATCATCTGAACTGTCACTGGCTTCAGCATCTGAGTCTTCAATCTTACTAACTAAATTAGATGGGTTCGCATGATATGACTGTGGATCTTCATCAGACGTAGCCCCAACAACAGCAGTTTTAACAAGTTTGTCAATTTGATACTTAAGTTTGGAGTCAATAGGTCGAATCTTTTCAAGTACAGTCCTCAACTCTACTAATCTGTCAATTGAAGGATCTGACTCAATTTTTTCTCCAGAACATTTCCGTAATACAATGTAAGTCAAGTTTATAAGATAACTAAGAAGCATTTGATATTTCATCTCCAGAAAGCTCAATCCTTTGTCTGTTGTGACTTCGCCAGTTTTGACTCGGACCAACATATTATCTACAAGTTGTGTCACTTGTTGAATATTCATGTTCATTTCCTTGAGAAGTCTAACTGCCTGAGGCAGGTCAGGTTGTTCCATTTCTTCTGCTGCCTGAAATAAGACGTAATTACGTATAAAGTATCGTAATAAATGTATAGTTGTACAGTGTTTTAAAGACTGTTATGAGCAAGTTAGCAAATTTCGTGGTGTATTGATAAATAATTACCTGAACCATGTTGATATGACTTAACCTTAAATCACAAATCTAAATTCGTCTAAATTACAATACAGTACACTGTCATCTGATCCTATTCCAAATGAAAATATAATATTTTCTCAGCCGATTTGATCTACTGATGGATTTATGTTAATTTACTAAATTAAACAAAAAAATAAAGACGCGATCGACATCACACAGTATTTGTCATTTTTTTGGATTGTTAAAGCGGTGCAGGGGAGGGGGAGAGAAGAAGGAAATGCCAAAGATAATATAAGTTTTATATCTTCACTTTGGGACAACGCATGAAGCTAGAGATGGGTTTCCACCCGGGTAAAAACCCACATGAGGGTAAAAACCCGTTTCATTCCACCCGTGGGTGTTTACACTGGGTGAAAACAAATAATTTTATAATTATTTCAATTGGTATCTTTTCTTTATTTTTATTGAATTTTTCTCATTTAAGTTTATTGATTAATAAGTAATAAGTCAAAGGATGATGGGCACTTTTCTATGGAATCTGGGCGTAAAACCAACAGAAATGTAACTACTATTATTTGTTAGGACTTAATATCAGAAACATATTTTCATATAAATAACTACCAAAAACTCCCGGGTTTGCTTGGAAATTGACATAATGTGTAATAGTAATAGGAGCTTTATTGCGGAAACAAAAAAATATTATTAATTAATATACTTATCTACTTACATTTTAAATACATTAAGTTATTTATCCATTATTATGTCCAACAAATGGTATATTTAAACCATGTTCTACATTATAAGCGTAGGACCATACCTAGGTACCATTTAGTTTAGAGAAATGACATGAACACAGTCATGTTTCAATGGGATTTCTACCGTTTAAGTTGTAGTGTTGTCGCATAATCGATCACGGATCGATTATTAATCGATATTGCCAAATAACGATTTATCGATTAACAATTCGATTAATCGATTTTATTGATTACCATCATTATTATCATTTGATTGTTAATTCAATTCCTTATTTTCAGCAATATAATCGATTATTGCAATCGAATAATCGATTATGATTTATTCGGTAAACATACTTACTAAATCGATAGAATCGATAGTAAGATATGATACAAAACTCTCAATATGATCAATAAAAGAAATCTAATTGACCTAATACTATTTTTATTACCCTAATGTGATGTGAAATACTATGGAAACTTTGCATATTCAACGACCTCTATCTCCGTATCCCCGCGTATTTCAGGATTGTTGTCATACTATGAAATGAAGTACTAGTATTAAGCTTTAATTTGGTATACTTTTTGTTTCTGTTGGTTTAACGCCCAATATGCCCATCATCCTTTAACACTAATATGTATGTATCAAATCGTAAAATTGATCACGTTATGATGATGTGACCAATTATTTTATAAAATGGTGTTATTTCAAGAATCGTTGAACCGATTTAGAAGAAATTTAGTAGGAACACAATAATTTGTGATCATGGCAAGGACATGGAGGGGGGGGGGGATGCCAAAGATGCCAAACTCTCTCTTTGATGACATTACGGTATAANTGCTTTGTCTTTCTTATTGTCCCCATCATCTGAACTGTCACTGGCTTCAGCATCTGAGTCTTCAATCTTACTAACTAAATTAGATGGGTTCGCATGATATGACTGTGGATCTTCATCAGACGTAGCCCCAACAACAGCAGTTTTAACAAGTTTGTCAATTTGATACTTAAGTTTGGAGTCAATAGGTCGAATCTTTTCAAGTACAGTCCTCAACTCTACTAATCTGTCAATTGAAGGATCTGACTCAATTTTTTCTCCAGAACATTTCCGTAATACAATGTAAGTCAAGTTTATAAGATAACTAAGAAGCATTTGATATTTCATCTCCAGAAAGCTCAATCCTTTGTCTGTTGTGACTTCGCCAGTTTTGACTCGGACCAACATATTATCTACAAGTTGTGTCACTTGTTGAATATTCATGTTCATTTCCTTGAGAAGTCTAACTGCCTGAGGCAGGTCAGGTTGTTCCATTTCTTCTGCTGCCTGAAATAAGACGTAATTACGTATAAAGTATCGTAATAAATGTATAGTTGTACAGTGTTTTAAAGACTGTTATGAGCAAGTTAGCAAATTTCGTGGTGTATTGATAAATAATTACCTGAACCATGTTGATATGACTTAACCTTAAATCACAAATCTAAATTCGACTAAATTACAATACAGTACACTGTCATCTGATCCTATTCCAAATGAAAATATAATATTTTCTCAGCCGATTTGATCTACTGATGGATTTATGTTAATTTACTAAATTAAACAAAAAAATAAAGACGCGATCGACATCACACAGTATTTGTCATTTTTTTGGATTGTTAAAAAAAAAAGCGGTGCAGGGGGAGGGGGAGAGAAGAAGGAAATGCCAAAGATAATATAAGTTTTATATCTTCACTTTGGGACAACATTAGCACAACAGCTTAACCCATAATCAAATACGGGGAAACATAATTATTCCCACTTGGGCTCCAATTGCGCTAAATATTTTCAACTACAACGCGACTAGACGACGAAAATCACAAATTAGTATCGCGGTGTCGCTTTAACAGCTAGTTCAAACGAAACCAAATGCAACTAATTCTTTGTGTAAGAGCTGAAAGAAAACTACTTTTTCTCAAAGTCAAGTCAAATGCCCTCGCGAACATTTAATTTTGCTGTTTTTAGTGAAAAAATAAAGTGTTCGGACTTTTATTGGAAAATCCGTTGTTTCGACTTTGTTTGCGCGTGAACCTTACCGCGAACGCGATACCGAATTTGCACCTCAGCTGGAATGAAAAACGGAGTGTAACTGGTGAAGAAGCGCCAATGTGTTGAAGACGTTAAAAATTAGCGCAATCGGGGCATTGGCTAGGTTGGATACATTTATTTTTTTCTCCTGGGTCCCGATTGTAAAAAATTTCAGCTGCTACACGATTGGACGATGAACGAAAATCAGAGCCCCGATTACGGTAACTTTTAACGTCTACAATCCAGACACGCTTCATCGATTCTGCGATACGATTGGTCAAAACAGCTGACGTACGCTGTTAAACGACCAATCGTATCGCAGAATCGAGAAGCGTGTCTGGATTGGAAACGTTAAAAGTTACCGTAATCGGGACTCTGCTTTTTGAAAAATCCGTATCGCAATCGTACGTAAAATCTGTCAAAAAGCTACTTTTAAAATCACGTTTTGCCGCTTGTGGTAGCCATGAAGGTAAATCTTTAGCTTCATGGTGGTAGGCGTGGTAGCCCCTACTGGACTAACCTGAGCCCCGATTACGGTAATTTTTAACGTTTCCAATCCAGACGCGTTTCTGATTCTGCGATACGATTGGTCAAAACAGCTGACGTACGCTGTTGAACGACTAATCGTATCGCAGAATCGAGAAGCGTGTCTGGATTGTAGACGTTAAAAGTTACCGTAATCGGGGCTCTGTAGCAGACAAAAGGTTAACACGATTACGGACAATCTATTTGTCTAGGTACCTATTAATAACTCCATTTATAAGTAATTATATCTCTGGCTGTTCTTGCAGTTGTCAAATCTGTCATCTGTTAGTTTGACATTTCTAACTAAACAAGCAGTCGATAAAAGAAAATGGTCAATACTTTTAAATTATATTTTTTGATTGAAAGTTGAAACTAAACATGTTATCAGTAAGTAATTATTATCATGGTTTTATATTTCTGCGTGTAGTGGTAATGTTTTCATGTTGATTATATTTTATTTTGTTTTTAGATCCCCTTGCAGTGCATCACCATTACCAGCTTATTTCTAGCTAGCGATGGATTCTATGTCCCCGGGGTAGCCCCGGTAGAGTTTAAAAAAGGCCAAAGAATTGAAGTGAAAGCTGTTAAAATGACTAGTATCCACACGCAATTGCCATATGAATATTACTCCTTACCTTTATGTTTACCAAAAAATGGAACATTTGTTTATAAATCCGAAAATTTGGGCGAAGTGTTACGTGGAGATCGTATAGTAAACACTCCGTATGAGGTCCACATGGCTGAAAACATTAAATGCAGGTTATTGTGTCACCATAAAAATAATCCTATCAATTGGAATGTTGAAGAGTCAGAAAAAGTAGCAAGTCGGATTGAACATGAATATTTTGTGCACCTGTAAGTTCACTAAAACACAATTAATTATATAAAGTTTTTCCTTGAACTACATTAATACCCAGCCCTAACTTACACTAATTCTCTAATTTGCAGGTTGGTAGATAATTTACCAGTGGCTACAAAGGTCATAAACATTGATACATCTGAAAGAACCATTGAACAAGGCTACCGACTTGGTTTTATGTCTAAAGGAAAAGCCTACATCAACAATCATTTGAAACTATTGTTGAAATTCCATAGGCACAGCCAGTATGTAAAATATTGAAAAAAGTATCTGTTTGCTTTTCTGTTATTTTAAATTTATATTTATTTATTTTAACTAACTGATTATTTTTTCAGTGACTCTTACAGAGTGGTAGGATTTGAAGTTGAGACCTTTTCTGTAGACAAAGATGAGTTAACTTTCTTAGATGATTTTGGATGTCAGTTACCCTCTGATCCAAAACCTCAGCTTGTTAATGAAGATACTGGCACTAAACTGTATTTCACATATTCTGTTGAGTGGGGAGAGTCAGATATAAGTTGGGCATCTAGATGGGATATATACCTTGGAATGAAAGATGTTCAAATACATTGGTTTTCTATTATAAATTCTATTGTTGTGCTATTTTTCTTGTCAGGTATGTACCATAATTTGTATTGGTGACATTTTTGATTCTACTTTATTTTTAATACTAAGTTTGTTGCTTTATGATGGAAATTTAATCAAGATAAATGTAATGAAACTGACTTTTTGTAGGTATATTGACTATGATCATGGTAAGAACTCTGAGGCGAGACATAGCACGATATAATTCAGATGAAAGTATAGATGACATGATGGAGGAAACTGGATGGAAATTGGTTCATGGAGATGTGTTTCGACCGCCACCTAAGCGAATGCTTTTTGCTGCTGTTATTGGGAGTGGTATACAAGTCTTCCTTATGGCATTAATTACCATCTGTAAGTTTTTTAAAATGTAATAATAATTTAGGTGGTTGATTTAATTTAATGAATGGTTAAATTAATGTCCATGTATTCCTCATCATCCTTTTTTGTTTTAGTCATTGCTATGCTGGGCATGTTATCTCCAGCAAGCAGAGGTGCATTGATGACTTCAGCTATACTCCTCTATGTGTTCATGGGTCTAATAGCTGGCTACTACTCTGCTCGTCTTTACAGTACAATGAAAGGAAAACAATGGAAGCAAGCTGCATTCTTGACTGCCACAATCTATCCTGCTATTGTGTTTGGCACATGCTTCTTTTTAAATTTCTTTATCATGGGAAAGCATTCTAGCGGGGCAGTACCCTTTTCAACCATGATGGCTTTATTGTGCCTATGGTTTTGTATCTCACTACCATTGGTCTATTTGGGATATTACTTTGGGATAAGAAAACAACCATTCCAACATCCTGTCAGAACTAACTTCATTCCAAGGAAAGTACCAGAACAAGTGTGGTACATGAATGTTTTCATATGGTAAGTAAATGAAACTTATAAAAATTGTTTTTGATAGAAGTTGTTTGTTATAAATAGCTTAGCCACGCCCACTATTATCTCGAGAAAATATCTTTATTTTGATACATTTCTCTTTAAAGGGATACCTCACTCAATTTAAATTTACAGAATTTCACAATCTTTGAACAGGTATTTAATACAATAATTGTTTTTCTTTTTCAGCATTCTGATGGCTGGCATTCTTCCATTTGGGGCAGTATTTATTGAACTGTTCTTCATATTTAATGCATTATGGGAAAACCAATTTTACTACCTCTTTGGTTTCCTGTTCCTGGTGTTTTGTATTTTGGTGGTTTCTGTGTCGCAAATATCAATTGTAATGGTATATTTCCAACTTTGTGGAGAGGTAAGCTAAAAATATTTCAAATATTACATATACCCTGAAACTTAGTGAATAAATGTGAAATTATCCATTTTTTTTAAGAGTTTACCTAATTTTTAAACTGTGTTAATACTAGAGATGAAACGGATATCCGGTAGGCCTTTTTGAGGTAAATATCAATAAAATGGCTTATAATAATGTCGGCTTTTATTTAAAGTCCAAAAAGTTACAAAAAAGCCATATTAAGGCCTCTCAAAAAGCTAATGTCTTTTTCTGAGCTCTAATGACAAATACATAAATATTAAATATCTGTTGTTAATGTCGAAATATTGCCAAATAAAATAGTCGATCTTTTTTTCACTGATGATCTGATGACATGATGCAGTTCAGTCAGATTACGCAGCAAGTAAACTAATTTAATTTTCGCTATTCAATCACACACGATGGCAACCGAAATCGTCTAAATTGATCTGCCCCCTAGACAAGTGGCAAAATCTGACATTCTATTCGGACGGATTCGATTTTCGAAAAGTGTGACTAGTCTAGTCTACTAATAGACCCACTGATCGCGTTCATTCAAAGTAGGTACCTGTGCGGCGCTAAACTCGTCACGACATGCAACGAGACAATGGGCCAACTATCCGGCCGCCGGATATCCGGCCAGCTCCTAGGCCGGATAGCCGGTATCCGGCCAAACAACTATCCGTTTCATCTCTAGTTCAATACTGGTAATTAAAATATAATTTTTATTACAGGACTATCATTGGTGGTGGAAAAGTTTTATTGTTTCTGGAGGATCAGCTGTGTATATCTTGATATATTCAGTATTTTATTTTTTCACCAAGCTGGAAATAACAGAATTCATTCCAACATTGCTTTATATTGGATATACAGGTGTGTATTTTGTACATATTCCTTCAACTAAGTTAAGCATCACTATAGTTTACATACTTTAGAGTTTAACAAAATCTCTGCAAATATGCCTTAAATAAGGCGAAAGTAACATTGAGCAACTGATTTTTATTTATTTACTAGGAATAGGAACTTGACTTAAACAATTTTCTTGCATTCATTGTTTTTTAGAAATTCCGTTACGTTCCAATAAATGACGTTGACCTTAATTTTATTTTATTTTCAGGACTCATGGTGCTGACATTCTGGCTTTTGACTGGTACCATCGGATTTTTCGCTGCTTATACTTTTATAAGGAAAATTTATGCTGCAGTCAAAATTGATTAGATTTTAAATGTAATTTGAGCCTATAAATGTTCTGCAAAATCATTTTGGTTGTAAATCTATCGAACAATTCATGGAAAGCTGTCCGCCAATATTGCGTGTAAATAAGACATGTTTGCGTTGTAGATCATTTTAAGTAGCAGTCAAGTGCAATCAGAATGATGTAGGTACTTATACACTTTTGATGGATGTTGCCATGTGGAAGTATACATTACATTTATATTTATTCCACTTTATTTAATTTGTGATTAACATTTAAGAACTTTGTTAGAGTTTAATTAAGCATCATGATTTGCATTTTAAGAACTTTTGATCAGAAATAGTACTTAGCTCATATTGCACAAAATAATGATGACCCAAAATTATTAATTTTCCTGGTTGAATTTTCTTTTAATCATTAATTCAGTGCAACGCCACGATATACTCTCAACTTCACGTTAATTTAGATTTAATTAAACAAGTTTGATATTAAAAATATCAATAAAAATAATCTTATATGATTAATTGCAACCACTGAAGTTTTTCTTTTGATATCATACTTTCTATTGTGTGTTCGTCACTTTACTTATTATACAGGTGACTTGTAATTAGTGAACATCCTTTTAAGGAAGAGAAAATTAAAGGACAATATTTTTATTTCTCTGTAGCACACTACATCTAAATGAGTCGAGAGTTGTTCAATGTTAATTTAGTAATTAAGTATAGGCTTTTTCTTAACATTTTCCCATACAAAATTAAATCAAAATATCTCATAATAAATGGTTAACTTTTGCCTAGGCACTACCTATAAATAATGTAAAATATGCCTCCTGCCTAGTAAGTAGGTTTGCATTGACCTGTACTAAATCACTTTCCTACAAGGATGTTATGTTCATTGTAGAAGTCGCCTGTAGTAAGTACTATTTTTTAAAAGTAGATAACTTAAACAATATTACCACCCAATTTTTTTTAACACTATTGTTTGTATGCTAATCCAAATTAATTGCGGTTATACTCGTAGTCTTGGATCCAATTCACCAATGTGTATATTGGCCAGTTATTATTGGACATAATTGTGTATTTGCCACCACTCCCCAATAATTATAAAGCACAACTTTTTTAAAAAGGCACTTTATTCTGGTTTTAAAAACTTAATTGCCTGTAAATTAAGATTTTTGGTTGGTAATACAGGATCGCTGGTTCCGATTTTTGCCATGTTGGAAACTATACAGGGTGTTAGGTAAATGGGTATATGAGCCGACACTAGCCCATGTTAACATGGGCATATAAATGGTATGGTGAAGTCGGAAAATTGATATCTTCATTTTAATTTTCATACAAATCGGATTTTATAAAATTTATTTTGTATGAAAACTTAAAAAAATAAAATGATATCAAATTTCTGATTTTATAAAATTTATTTTGTATGAAAACTTGAAAAAATAAAAGGATGATATCAAATTTCTGACTTCACCATACCATTTATATGCCCATGTTAACATGGGCTAGTGTCGGCTCATATACCCATTTACCTAACACCTTGTATAGTTGAACGATGGTGGCGCCCCCTGTCAATCAGTTTGGTGGGACAGTTCTTTAGGTCATTACGTCAATTAATAATAAAATTGGTGGTTGCTAATACCATAAACGTTGCATGACTTCCCATTGTCGACCCATGATGATGTATCGGTGTTCTACACGATAAATTATTTTATTTAGTTTTTGTGTTATACGACCTATCTAGTACGACCAAAAAGCTGTATAAACATGTATTTCATTGACTATCACACTGTAATACATGAATTAAAAAGTAAAATGTCAAAAATGACCGGGAGGAGGGAATGTCATTAGATTTTTGGTGATAAAAAATTAAAATATTTATTTTTACAGCGTAGTATTTTCTACGAAAAATCCAAATTTTATGTACAAAATGGAAACCAAAGTAGCTGTAGTAACTGGCGCCAATAAAGGAATTGGCTTGGAAATTGTAAAAGGGTTATGTCAAAAGTTCGATGGGACTGTGTACCTCACAGCTAGAAACGAAGAAAGGGGTCAAGAAGCCGTAAAGAAGTTAGAAGAATTGGATCTTCATCCAGTTTTCCACATTTTAGATGTTACTAGTGAAGAGAGTGTTCAAGCGTTTGCTACCCACATTTCAACTCGTTATTCGGGAATAGATGTTTTGGTCAACAATGCCGGTATCCTCGACTTTGATAAATCTGTTTCGTCATACGAAGATGCCAAAAAACTGATTGATACTAACTTTATGAGCTTGTTGACGATATCAAAAACATTGTACCCGTTGTTGAAGAATAATGCACGAATTATAAATCTTAGTAGTGATTGGGGCTTGCTGTCGAACATAAGAAAACAGATTTGGCTTGATACGCTAATCAAGGATAATCTTACTGTGGATGAAATTCTACAATTTGTAAATGATTTCTTACAAGCAGCGAAAAATGGCAAGAATACTTTTATTTCATTCGCGGGACACTATGGAGATTACAAAGTTTCAAAAGTAGCAATGTCGGCGTTGACATTTGTACAGCAAAGACAGTTTAATGAGCAAGGAAAAGATATATCAATAAATTGTGTTCACCCCGGATTTGTTAAGACTGAAATGACAAAAGGAATGGGTGATTTTACTCCTGAAAGAGGAGCTCGTGCTCCACTTTACCTGGCATTGGAGGCCCCCCAATCGCTCAAAGGCACTTTTGTCTGGCACGACTGTCACCAAGTCAACTGGGACGACTAGGCATGTAATGGTATTAAAATTGTTGCTGTTACAACCATGTTAATCCTGTGATACCAGTGTCACTTACACTTTAAACCATAATATATTATTTCTTTTAGTTATAAAGTTTTGTTATTTATCCTTTCTTCAGATCAGTGATGAGTTTTGTAAAGATTTTGCAAATTTTAATAAATATTCTGTCTATAATATTATGTTGTATATTCTAATAAGAACCTAGTTAGAATGAAATTTATATTCATTTTAAAGGACTCAGAGAAAAACATTTTATCTTGTCCCTTTTTTATTCTTTATTATTGGTCTCATGAAAGGAAACTAATGATGCAAAGCTGCTTACACTAACACTAACAAGAACCTTAAATAACATTTATTGAGTTAAAGTGTAATATTTATTACTTTAAAGATCTCCAAGGGATCTACTTATGCTTAAAACACGACAATTAAATACAATACATCAGTGGTACCTAACCAATTTGACCCCAGTTCACCCCCATGTTCACAACAATTATTCTGGTACCCAGAATGCATGGTTATAGTTATTTTTTAAGGAGCAATAAATTATATCAAAAAAGTCAACAAATAAGCTTGCTGCTAACTAATAATTTCAAAATTTAGGAACCCCAATTTTGGCAATTACATAGGTTAACTAACTGAATTTTAATTTCCTTTCGAACAATGCAACGTTTCGGAATTTGAATTGGGTCGATTAATACCACTATAACTACCCTCTTGATGAAAAAAAATAATACCAAGGTATGTAGGACAATTTGTGACTTAATAATTAAATGTCTCTAAATAAATAAATAACACAAGTAGTAATGATAATTTCAGGCTTAATTTGTTAGCGAAAATGATTGATTGCGAATAAAATACTGGTCAAGTGCCGTGCGAAGCGAAGTGTAGGGGTTCCTTAGTTGTGCGTTGCCCTACTCGTACAAAAAAGTTTAATATTCGATAACGGTATTTTATAGGACCTCATCAACATCATCATTGCATAATCTACTACCTCACACCATGGCCATGGGGTAGTAGGTGAATGATGAAAAATATTTCTTAAAATCGAAACTACGGCACTCTAAAAAAATCTAGTTTCCATTTGGAGGTCGAGTGCAACTCCACTCGTAGGTAGGGATTCTTTTTTAAAATATGGCAACGAAACCTATGGGAGGTTTATTTTTGGTAATGTCGAGTCACGAGTGTATTATTGATAAAGTACAATCTAAATATAAAATATATCTGATTGACTACTTACATTAACTACATATCAACGCACAGCCTAAAAGGCTAAACGTAGGCACTTGAAATTTGGAAGGGACATAGCTTAGGTACCGTAGAGGTGCACTAAGAAAGGAATTCCCGAAAATTCCCACGGGAACAGGAGTTAGCGGGAAAAAACGGGATCCACGCGTACGAAGTCGCGGGCGGCCGCTAGTAAAACATATGTGCTTTAGTTCTATTGCTTTCATGGATTCCGTGGAGATAGTATGCCCAGCGCAAAATGTGGGTCAAACTGCCACCGTCTATCCACTATCAGGCCCAGATAATTGATCTGAGCTTCTTAACTTCTATTCTGACGCCATCCACGGTAAAATAATATGGGCGTTAGGAGTCCAGTCTCACACTCCAGTCTCCAGATGCGCTTGGCAATTTGAGTGCTGGCAGTGGTCGCCAAATTGGCCGCGTCCATACAATCCCGCCCTCGGGCTGTGACGAGTGTCATCTGCTGTCTGCATAGAAGATAACATCTACTACGCCCGGGAGGAGGGCGCCGCATACTTAGTACCCAGTCATATCCGATGTTGAGTTAGCTGGACGGCCCTCCATGCGCAGCAGGCATAAGTAGTGGTCCGGCCTAGGCAGGCATAAAGGGGCCCCATCCGCAGCTGAGTTGACACTGCGGGAATCGATCATGGATGGTCTACCATTAAACTAAACAGATGTCCTTGTATCGTAACTAAGAAATAATATCGTTGCCTCAGTTTGCGGATTGTTATAATTAATTTCTGAAAATTTACCATCATTCCAAAAGTTGACTGGTAGAGGCTGCCTTGTGGAACTAAGTTTGCCTTTTGTACCTACTTTTCTCTTTCTGGAATAATATACATATATACAACATGTTTTAAGTTTGAAAGTTACGATGCCAATGTATGCCATCATAAATAAGAATAAATAGGCCTAGTAAGTACGTGATGACATATTAAGTATTGGCAGAAATATTAACTTTTACGTCTCTTTTTTGAAAATTATAATTTTACGTCTCTGTCTTCAGGTAGCTTAGGTAAGTAGGTATAACATGAATTTGATTTAGCATAGGTACTTACCAATACCTACCTACCATCAACAGCCTGTTGCACATTGGCGTATCTAAGGTAATTTTCCTGGCTCTTGACTTGCTATGGCAGAAGAGAGAGTGGGAGGTCCCTCAGGTTTAGTTATTACTTATAATTTGAGATAACTTCGAAGATCAACATCCTTTTGGGGCACTAGACCATTTTAGGTTGGGCCCGACGGCCCACCCGGCCCCCCCGCTAAATACGAGCATCAGTATCTCCCAATGCGCGCTATTTCTTCGACTTGTCGCATCTATTATTAACTCGTAGCTTCTGCGTGAACACGTACATCTACATCGTTGAGCTTCAGTCAGTTACTTTTTGCAATAAGTATGTCCGCTATTTTTACACGTAGTTTGTATCTACTACATCCACGTTGCATCTAAGCTAACCGACCTACCTAGCCTACATACCCGCTGTAGAAAATCTTATTAAGGATTTTCCTATGCATGCGATGCTCTTTGTATGGGTTCTGATAAGGGTACTCGTAGCTACATATACCAACAACCTAATCAAATTAAAAAATCGTAATGGCCGCTGGAAAAGGGGTAGAACTAACTACTGTGAAGTAAGTAACTTGACGATGCTACACCCCGATGTATAAAGAAGCCCTTTTATGCTGCGTGTAATGTAACGTTACCTACTTATGCAGGTGATTACTTAGGTAAATACAAGTAGATAGGTACCTATGTAGGATTTGTGTAAATAGTGCAATGAGGTTAAGCCGAAGATCAGTTTATGTCTTACGGCGAAGTAGGTATGCCACACCCACTCGAAGTGAAAGTACCTTAAATCGGCATTTGAGAAATATCTATTAAGTTCGTGGATGCTATAGTAATATATATTCACTACTGCACTCGTACTTTTGTAACGGTACAACTAAATTAAAACTCGGCCATCATGCTGAATCAAAGGTGCTCACGCGCGGCTGTCCCCAAGGATCGGTCCTAGGGCCCTACCTTTGGAATTTGGGTTTCGATGATTTTCTAGCATTACCACTACCCGAAGGCTGTTCGTTAACCGGGTACGCTGATGACGGTCTCCTTTTAATAGAGGCTGACACTAGATCAAAGCTTGAAAATCTAGCGGATACATGCTTGAATTTAATATCTCAATGGGGAGACAGGAATCGTTTGCAGTTTGCCCCTCACAAAACTTATCAGCTTCTATTAAAAGGTAATCTTAAAGTTTTGCCTCGCATTAAATTCAATGAAATAACTGTTAAAAAACGGGAATCTGTTTGCTATCTCGGACTAATTTTAGAGAAAAACTTTAGTTTTGTCGAGCACATTAAACAGATCGGTGAAAAAGCTAAAAAGAACTTTTATGCCTTAAGTCACATTTCAACCTCGACGTGGGGTCTAACGTTTAAAATCCTCCGAGTAATATATTCGGCCACTTATTTAAGCTCCATTTGCTATGGTGCACCAGTTTGGGCTGACAGAGCTACTATAGGAGCCGCTCGACGGAAACTACTCCAAAGTCAACGCCTTGCATTGATTTTTCTTTGCAAAGCTTACAGAACTGTGAGCACGGAGGCTCTGCCAGTCCTGGCTGGTGTACTGCCGGTCGACTTNTCGCCATTTTGAAAAAAAATTTTTTGGGTGGGTAAAAGGCATTGTATGCGAGATTTAAGAAATGAATTTCTTTTGAGGGTGATTATATTACAAAATAAAAAATAGAAACCATTTATTTTATTTCATTAAGTACCTTAGGCCGCGGAATTATCAGCCGGCTCTCGTATGTAGCAGTAACTTTAACATCTCGACTATAAATAAACTTAACTTGATATTAATTAAAAATAAAGATACTTATTAGCTACGAACAACTTTGTAGGTGCTTCACACTATTTCGTTTGTTCGTTTCAGCCAAGCCTGAAATTGATATCCAAATGACAAGCAAATTTAAGTAGTTAAAGAAAATTAAAAAAAAAAAACACGAGTAGGTAGGTACTACATTGCATTCTGTTGTACGAAAGACATTAAATAAATATCTGTCTGGAAGTATCAAACTTCAATAATTTACCTACATAAGTACACATCCACCACACGCAAATTCGAACCTGGGCCCCACTGCATTCAGGGCGATTCACTGCGCCAATAGGTACTTACTTACTATAAGCAATGAGCTGGCTCACATTTTAATAAACAAAATAGGATCTAGCTAGAGTACACACACCTTAAACTGAAGAAATTTTCCTATTACCTACCTATCATTAAATAATTTGATGGAACACGTTACACATTTAAATGATTTCATTTACTGAAAAACTGCCGTATTTTGGGTATCTCAGTACCTCCCTACACACAAAATAAAAAGCATCCATGTTTACCTACTAACAAATTCGTTATCAGGTTAATAATAAAGCCATCGTAGTAATTGCGCCATGTGAAATTACAAAATACCTTTAGCGCGATGTTGTAGATAAATGTACAATAGAATTGATGAGTATCACGCGAGGGTCGTTATTTTGATTTCCTTAGTACATTACTCCTTGAAATGAAATGAAAATGCTACAGCAAACACTATTAATTCCGTATGAGTGGTTCCCACCACAAGGTTTGTCTGCAATGTCGCTTACTTGATATCAGTAATTGTTTGTTTATATTGCTTGCCATGACTGGCGCGGGTGACGCGGTACGCTGTTGTTACTGTCGCACTTAGCTAATATTGTGTCCGACCGCGCACAAAATATTCCCACTTGATTATAGGATAGGGGACGAGCTGCTCTTGAATAACTTAGTTTTATGGATTGTGATTGCATGTGGTGGCGATTATTTGATTGCTATGATTTGTCAGTAAACCTGGATACTCGATCGGACGGAAATAATGAACCACAGAATATTATAGTCTGATACATGTCTGATACCTAACTTACAACTACAGAACATTATTTTCCTACATTATACAATAATCTTGTAAAATGCTTTTAATTCCTGATAATTTGAGCTTATTTGACCCTTAAAGGAATACGTAATGAGGATGGTTAATTAGGCAAGCTGTGGTTTCGGGTTTTCGAGATTCCCGGGATCGGTACATTATTTATGCACAAAAAGAAAGTTCAGACAGTGGGATAAAAATTAAAAGTCCAAGTTCATAAATATGTAGGTAGGTATATTAAACTGGCCTAAATAAATTACAACTTATAATCAAACTTACAAAAATTGACTCAACATTACACAAAAAAAAGTTTGAACACGGTTTCACCGTTTTTTGCATTACCACAAAGTAGTTTAATTAAGTGGTTGGTTAACGTCTATCGTTAAGGTCCATTCTCAAAAACATAGTTGTTTAGATTTAGATCCAAGTCATTATACTGTAGGCTTATGATATAAAACAGTCGTAGTAAAACTCTTTGGTGTTCTAGCCGCTAAGTCACAACGTGTAGGCTAGGAAGCGTCTTTTGCAATCGCTATGCTTCCATTTAAAAACACCCTTAAATACAAATTACATTATAATATTAATAAATACATTTTAGAAAGTTTTTCTTACAATTACGCCAAGGTATAGGTACTTCCTTAAGTTTTCATTATTCAATCACATCTACAAAAATACAAGTTCGATGTGCAGTCTCATGAAAATTGTAAATCATAGCCTCTAATGTGTATTAAACAATTAATATGTTACAGTAGTACGGTTGAAAGAAAAGGTTCTTAAATCTATCTAAATGCGATATAAAGTACAAATACTTATAAGATGCTCAGAAGATAGCAGTATCTACCGTACATTTATGTCATCTTTGTTAATCCAGACAGTGGGGATTGGATGTAGAGTGTGTAAAGAAGTGAGTGCTTCAATTCAATCTGAAAGTCGGTTTACTTTAACAGATATTAACACTTCGGTAACTGAAATACCCAACTAAGTACATGGTAAATGCGTCGTTTGATTAAGAACGACAATGGTAAGTTCACTCTCACATTATGTACTTTTAGTCACGCTTTACATTATACTTAAGTACATGAAGGGGTATAGATACTATTTCAGAGGCTCAAAAATTGAAATATAAAATGGTAACACCTCATTTGGGTTATTCGGGTGTTCGTAACATAGACGTGGTAACAATTTCTACTTTAATTTTGACAATTTTAAAACTTTCGATAAGTAAATAAAACTTATGTTCGGTAAAAGAATCCAAATATAGAAGATATTCTTATTTTAGTTGCGCTGTAACAAACATTTTTGTGGTGATTCTCTTCTCTTCGTGATTAAACTGAATAAAAATACCTACCTATGTGTAGCATTTGAATAAATAGCAAGCAGGCAGATTAAGTGTCTTTTGTACGGATTTTTCATCGTTTAGGTATTAATTTACAAGTCGTGTTTAAATTATAACTAATTCTTAACAAAACTAAATAAATAAAGCGTTTGACACTCGACTAATAAGACACTTCACTTTGGTTTGTATTAGACTATACTTACAACTATGGTGCGCCTCGTTACATACAATCATTCAGGCACCATTCATTAAAATACAATAATGGTAAATTGTTTAAAAATATTAGGCATTGATATGACATTACATGGACGTATCACTTGGACGGATAAACAATTAACAGGTCTGACGTAAATTCTATTCAAATACCTACACTACATTTATACGTAGGTAATAACTTTTCGTTGCCGCTGTGAGTAGCATATTTTCTATGCGGAATTCTTAAGAGGTTCCAATAAATATTTGATATTATACAACAATAACTTGGTAAGCCTAAACAAATATTACTTTAGTATGTAGGTATTTGAATAGACTTAGTCTAATTTTAGAATTTACCTATAGGTACGTGCATTTGTCATAGAGTTACACTTAGGTAGGTATTATTGGTGTCACACCTAAGTACCTTATTTAATGTTTACAATCAGATTTCGTAAGGCACTAAAAAGGTAACAGAATTATTCAAGTATTTACATAAGGATTTAAATATTTCACATTAACATCACTTAATATCTGAAAAATATCTACAACTATCCGCACACTATATTAAAACAACACACTGGATAGTACAACATTATTATGATACTGGTGTAAGTAAATTATCTAAGTAATTTTACGAATTAAATTTTCTTTGTAATATCGTGTCAAATTAATTTTACCAATTTTTATATTGGTAAAGCTCGAAAACTGAATTGATTTTACAATACAATTTGTGCCCCTACATGGTTGTGTGAGAACCCGCTTCGGGTCTTTTATGCCTATTATGATTGTCCACATAACGTTTTTTATCATTTTCGATATCCACAAGAAGTGGGCCTGCTCCATTTCAGTGGAAGGAATACAATCCACTACTTGTTTAATTAAGTTCGAATTCCGTACGAATCAAATGATTGCAAGTTTAAAACGTAGGAATATGTATTTTTCGTCAAGCCGTAATAATATTGGGGCTAGACATTTGTTTTTTGTAATCTACCTATTTACAATAGCTCTTCCAAAAAAAATCGTTGTCGAAAAAACAGTTCACAGTATAATGTTTCGACTTTTTATTCAAATCTTTTGTAAAAACCTTAGTTGAATTAATTTAAAAAACCTTAGTTTTTTACTTTTGACTCACAATTCTCACATGTTAACCCTTATCTTGGCATGACCAAAAATTCACTACGATTTTAATTTTTTTGACATTTATGAGTTAAGTATGATCCTAATAGGCCAATAAAAATGTTTAAAAAAATATATTGTTTTCAGTTTTTCAGAAACCAGGTGTATCATATATGATACACTGCCAAGATTAGGGTAAAGAAAATTAAAAAGCTAAAATATTCAAAAAATAATTTTGAATGAACAAAAACATACATAAATAATTTAAAAAGGTATTTTTTAAACTTCCTTATCAAAACAGAAACTCAGAGTGAAAAGAATATGCCAATCCCAATTATAGCAAATGATAATTACTCAGATTCTTGCTTTTTATACCTACTAATAATGATAAAACTCATAAAATCGAATAACTTTTTACCACACATAAAAGTTGATTATATTTTGTGCATTTTATATTTAATCTGCCCATTTTTCTAGTTTTATATTTTCCACAAGAAGCGAAAATAGGCCAAAATTGTCATACTTGAGGGCATCAGAAGGTAGGGTGGATGGATTTTAATAGATTTTTATGAACTAATTGCACTCCACAAGCTTGTCCACTCTAATAACTGTATTTCCTACTAATGTAACACTAATATCTTTTAAAAATACGCATTTTTTCTTAAATTATGATTTAAAAATACATCACGAAGCACTTGGCAATGTAACATATATGATACACAGGCACATGGACGGTTATAAAATCGGCAAGTAGCAATACACACCATCCAAACCAAACGAAAAACTCAGAGTAATCCTTCTTCTGTAAATTACATACAGGAAATAACACAAATATTTAGTGATATCGCCATTATACAAATAAACTTACCACGCTTTTGAAGCCAACATGCTTAGGTTATCCAATTTTGACAATAACTGACAGCCAAATGTATTTTTGTGTGAATAGTTTTTTTTATCTCATTCTATGATATATCAGGAACGTGTTATGTATAAAATAAATTATTTCTAATGCTTTCGCTGCCCTCAGGATTTTTTAAATTATGATGTATCACCCGTGTTACGATGCCAAGAAAAGGGTTAAATTCGAGCTGTCCTATAAAGCAAACACTGCAAATGTACCTAGGTACATAATATCGAAAACTGTGCCATTTTATCTTTGGACGAATTTAAATTATTATTTGTACACAGCGTTTATCGCTTCAGGGTATCCTAAGTTCTAAATACTTAATGACTAAGTTAGACTTTAAAGTTAGTCTTGACTATCGACTCCTGTTTTTAATTAATATTTCTAAAATATTAATCAACTCTGGTAACAACCGTTCGATAATGAATATTTGATAACTTGAGAAGAATGGCGGCTTTTTGTTCTTGTGAAAGTGTGAAAACTATTTTGAATGGCACTCTACTAAAAATATTGTGAAAAAGTTGGTGAATAGGCGAGAATGTGCTTACTAACATTCTTCGATTTGCTACAAATTCTCTACGACAGCACACAAAATAAAGAACCTGAAATGGCAACATAGTGTTGTGGGATGTTTTTACCAGCTTGTGATAGTGTGTTAGCTCAGTTAGTGATCAGGGGTGTTAGAGGGGCAGATTCGTCGCCGTAAAATCTGTAGCGGTGAGGCGGGGGTATGGTGGTGAGGGGCGCGTCGGCCGCGTCCGAGTGCTGAGAGTCCCTGTGGCGACGCAAGTCCACCTTGCGCTGGAAAGCCTTGTCGCACAAGCCGCACGAGAAAGGCTTGTAACCGGTGTGCTTGCGCATGTGCGTGATCAGATTCGAGCTCTGGCTGAAGGCTTTCGAGCATACCACGCACTTGTGGGGCTTCTCACCTGCAAAAAAGAGTTATGTTGAAACCTCTTTCAAAATAAGTATACCTACTGTAATAACAAACTAGAAACCATATGAAATGAATATGCAATAATTACATTCAATTAGCAACTTTTGGTTTATGAAAAGTTACTTAGTGCTCCAGCACCGATCAACAATTAAATAAGTTGTACCCTGGTTCAGGTATGGGATTTATCCCACTGAGCTTTCCTACCACTGCAACTCCTGTATAGCCAGGATCTACAGATTGGCGTCCAATGTAAGAAAGTCGTCGTCGTCGTCGTTTCAGCCGAAAGACGTCCACTGCTGGACAAAGAAAGTAGTTATGTTTTTTTACAAAACGTTATTGTGATTTATTCTTAGACAAAAGTATTTAGGTTAATAATTTCTGATTGAATATGCACGTGAATAGTTTATTGCCCCATAATTCGAGAATAATTAGTTAAACGGACATCGTAACAGCCGTGTTGTTTCGAATTTGTTTCTAATTATTCATAAATCGTATCCATACGTGATACGTATCGCATCGTTAAGTAATTAAAGCTTGTATGAGCGAACCACTATACTTGTCATATCATCGGTCATTTATTATTTACTGCGCGGTTTCCGAACTGATTTAATATGCAACATCGTTATGTCGACCGGTATTTACCAACTTCGGCGATAATTGTTTGTCGTTGTTCGATAACGCCGGCGGTAACAAAGTTTTTGTGGGAAAAATGTCTCCTCTCCTTTCCAGTGATAATAAGGTATTGAAGGATAAAAGGAAAAATTGAAATGTCATTTTATAGATAGAACAGGATTTAAGCGTATTTTTTGTTTGCGCCGTGATCGTCGTGCACGTGAAGGCCTGTGAAGGCTGGCGGCTAATTGCAGCGGAGCCGCATTTTGGAATATTGATGATGAGGCATTTATCGGGAGGACGAGCTCCTTGTACGGCCGCTGTAAATCATTCGGGCCCGCGCGGGACGTGACGAGATGTCTCCGGCCGAGACAAATATGTCCGCCACATTTTTTAGCTGCTTAATTCGTCTTGTTGAGCTTACTGGAAATAGTCGCCATTGAAAAATAGTCGCGGCTTTTATAGTCTTGGTAAAGCGGCTTTCAGTCAATCGTTCACTTGAAAGTTAACAACGGTTTAAGTTTATTCAATTTGTAGTTAATTAATTGATAATGAGAATAATTGGGATTTCTTACGTGTCACAGAAGCAAGCAAGATTTACGAAAGTATTGCTTTTTGAATAAACGTTTTGAAGCGACTTATCACATTTGAATATTCAGTTAGCAAAGGCAAATCAGCAAAGGCTAAATTTTCTATAAGTATCTTTTAATCTGAAACCGAGAAAATCAGAAAAATTCACGAAAAGTAAGTAACTAAAGTCTAAACTTATCGAAATATCATTATGGATTAATTCACAATAGCCAGCTGAGATTACGCTTTCCTGTTCCACCCATTATTTTCGAGGCGAATAATTCGAGAAAAACAGCGTAAAAATGATCGCGACCTCCGACAAGGGCTGGCGGGAGGGCCGCCCGCGGTCTCACCGCGAGAGCGCGTTTTTTGCTCATTGGAAATTCATTAACGCCGGACCGGCTGCGATTTGCCGTCGAAAAGGTAATTGCACAGCATTTAAATGTTTAATTCCCAAGACAGCGTCGTCCGATGTGTCACACGACTCCTTTTATTGGGCACACACGCCTCGTTTTAATGAACTTGTCTGTGTGCATGACGCCGGGAAAAAATGCGTTTCTACTTAAGAATACAACTCGGCATTAAACTCGGATGCGTGTAGATTTCAAAACTCGAACCAACGCTGTTAACATAATGCTTAATAGGAGAACATAGCAAAAGAATTAACAGGATTTTCTTTAAGACAAGATGAAGTTTATAAGCTCGTGCTTACGTAGAGTCTCCCTATAAAGCTTATGTTACGAATACCTACTATTACATTACTCAATATAAAACTTTCCAAAAATTCTTATTGAAACTTACAAAGGTCTGTACTTTATTTAGATAATTTGTTCGAAACTATATAATTTTGTTTCCAGTGGGGGTGTCAATTGGCAGCAATTACCAACAAAGTTTCTTCACGAAATTACGAATGCGATTAGACATAGACATGTGATTTAATATGGGGAGGTTTAAAGGTTCTTAATATAATTTCACCACTACTTACAAAGTTACGTTTGGATAAGGGAATATGTCTTCGTGATAAATTCAGTCATTTAGTTGGTGAATATGACTCTATATTTAGATTGCACCTACTTTACTGTACAACGCGACGGCGAGCAAATAAAACATTTATTTTATTTCGCCCGTAGTTTTCCCGGAAATTATTCGAATTTTTCTCGCCGTAAAAACCATCCTTGGACTTCAACGAACATTTAAAAAAGAATTGGCAAAATCGGTCCAGGCGTTGTTGAATGATGCGCTTACCAACACATTTTGTGATTCATTTTTATATTATAGAAGATTATGTAGTTTAATTTTGCGTATCTATGTTGTAAATAAACTGGAATTTATTTTAATGACATTTCTTAACAATTTATAAGTTTACACCAGATAAGTTGGGTTCTAGAGTTCTCTTATTTATTAAAAAAAATGAAATGTCGAAATGGTCACAATTTAGGCGATTTTATCTCTTCTTAATTGAGGCGATCTCTTTCAACTTACCAGATAGGTGACAGTTGTTTGAAATAACAAAGAGAAGGTGGTAAAAGTGGGTCATTATTTATCATATGCTTTACATTGCCAAATGTGAAGGTAATTTTTCAGTTATACTTTTCTTTATGAAGTGAACTTACCCGTGTGTATATAGGTGTGCTTCTTCATGTCGGACTTCTGGTGGAACCGCTTGCCGCAGTACTGGCAGGGGTAGGGCCGCGTGTCCGAGTGGATGAGCAGGTGCGTGGACAGCGTGCTAGAGCGCTTGAAGCACTTGCCACATTGCTTGCACTACGACAAATAACACCAATTTTAGATCCCTGTTGAATGCTCTACATTAAAGAGACTGTAGAGAAAAACAAACCTTGAATAAGTTATTTGAATTATACATTAAATTAGACCAATTTAAATAACACCTTGGTGAATCATATCGAACACGATCGTTTACAGGCGTCATTTACTTTACTAGATCGATATCAAGCGGGCTAGCCCTGCATTTGTCGCAATGCTACCTTGAATCAAAGTTAATAACTTAGACGGGGACATATTGCGCTCCTTATAATTTATACGTACTTACTAATAAAACCTAATTAGATTAGAATTGTTAAAGATGTGATTGCCAGTCTTTGAAAGGATAATTAGATATCGATATCGTGAACGTCCATCATCTTCAGCGGTGACAGCCGGCTATAAACTAATAACAGGGCACCCTACGTCTTTCTACACATTTCTTTGATTTCCTTCATGAGTCGCGATAGCTACGATTTCTTTTTTCGTTGCCCAGTAATTAGCATCGCGAACGGGTTATTATTCGTATTTTACCACAGGGAACACGCGGCAAGGGACTACAGTCTACAATCATTTTGCTCCGTATAAATTAAAAATATTCCATAGATAGTTTCGTAGAAAATACGCTTTCAGTTAAATAGACCAGTCAAAAATCCATAAATCGACGCTACACATTACATTCGTTCTACGTCGGTACTAACACGTGTTTACCTAATAAACATTCATTATTCCATTCATAGGATGTGTGTTCAAATGAGAGAAGACCAAAGACACATACCTATTTGACAAAAGATCTACTGTGCCTTCCTATTTCAACTTTCTGTAGATTTATTTGCTCAGGTGTTTTAGTAAGTATTCTAGGAATACATTTTCTTTAGAGAGTGTTTGCTTATGTAAAACTTAAATTGCCGATGTCGTGTGTTTTGAAGGTGAATTGTTACACAATTTGAAGGTATGAGGCAGTTCTAAGCACTTGTGTTTGATTTTGATCAATAAAGGTAGGTGCCTAACTATAAAGAAGTCGTATATTATACTGCGTATTTCACGTAATTTAATTGGAATACACGAATAAATATTGTTTTTAAAGTTGATTTTAAAAATACCTAGAAGGTTCGAAGAAGAAATGTGTTAATACCTAGTGGGTATGTTGAAGTAGTGACTATCAGAATGTAGAGTAAGACACAGTAGGTCTACTTGCACCAAGTGAATCCTTGCGAACAGATTACGGGTAAGAGATTCAGAGATGTAGAGGCTGTTCGTAACGTCTAGTCTTGTAGAATCCCTATGTGTCATAGTGATTTTTCTTCAGATATGGCCAAAATGCATTGATGACAATTAATGCAAATGCAATAAATGCATGAGATGAGCGCGCGTATAGGATAGGGAGGCTCGAACATCTACACCTACGCTACTGCTCCTCCTTCATGTGTGGTCGGGCGAAGCGATTCGCGAGGCTATTACTCGGGCGGTTAGTCGTTAAGTACGCATATGATAATCCGGGGCCCGCGACCACGACACAAATCCGCGTAGCGGGCCGGTGACAGTTGGCCGGGCAGCTGCGCTCGCGCCGACTCGCGCCTCACAAAAACACCCACTTTTTCGATCGTCTTTTTATACCGCACTCTCTTATAAACAACACAGGTGCTAGGGTATGACTGTCCACATATGGTTATCGGCTTATACCTCGTAGGGAGATTTTTTATGATAGCCATTTTAATCGAAAAAGGTTTAGTGAGGCTTTTTATAGAACCACGAATGAACGGTTCTTAACAGTTACATGAATATTTAGGCGGTTTGTAACTGTAAAAAGATACTTCAGAGGTGAAAATGAAGTAATTGTTTACCTAAGTGAATAAATTATTGCATTCACCTCAATGTTACAAAAGTCTTTTCCATTTCTATGTTAAAATATGTAGAGCTGAAATAAATTTATTTAATTACTATTCTTTACGAGTTATCTACATAGAAATTGTTGTGCCATTTAGAATTCTGTGATTATGCTGCTGAAACGCTTTAAGCTTTCAGCATGGTACAATATGCCGTAGTAAGTGATGGTGCCCACTTAATTTAATGATAAAGTGTGGAAAAATTGAGTGGCACTGCAGCGCTTTTATCGCCGTATGACACAAGGTAATTATGCGTCCAATTATAAAACACCGCAGCACCGTGATATTAAAAGTTGGAATTTTGATTAAAACCGATGCGGATTTTTATAATGGCATCGTAGAAAAAACAAAAGACAAGACGAGTAGACGGCCGGGCGTGTGGAAGCGCCGCGTGGCGGGCGCGCGACCCGTTCCGATACGCGAGTACTTATTAACACCTTTGCTGCGGCAGTAACTTTCTAATACTTTCCATTCCTTCGGTACAAGGTCAGTAAACCTGGTATTAAAACTTACATTGTGGCGGCACAAGGCTTAAAGACCTTGTAATATTTAAGATACATTAATTTTATTTTTGGCTTCATGTTAATAGATATTGTGTTTTTTTTCTTTGAATATTAATAATAATGCATTTATTGACATACACCTGAAGGCGTTCGTGAATAACTTGTTTAGTATAAAAATTATAGCTATATTCAAAATACAAGGCTTNGTGGCGTACCTGGAATGACTTTTCGTTTTTGTTTTCGTTTTTGATGAGGAGCGAGAAGTGGTCTTGCGGCGGGGGTGGCAGGGGGTAGGTCTGGTGGAGGGGCGCGGAGGGGCAGCGGCGGGGCTCGGCGGGGTCGCGGTCGTCGCGCTCGGGGGTGCTGCGGCAGCGCTTGACCAGCTCGAGCGGCGCGTCGCCGTCGTCCAGCTCCCAGCGCGCGCCCGGCGATTCCGCGTCCTGCTCGCGCTCGCACGCGCTCCCCGGAGACCATATTTGGCGGTTCTTAGTCGACAAATTCAATGGCAGCTCCTCCTCGTCATCTGCAAATAAAATGCAGATTAAAACGTGTCTGACCGTTCTTCACGCTTTGAATTTGAGGTCAGACGAGTCGAACAGGTCGATTTAAATGACTTATTAAATCTGAACAGGTGTAAAAGTAGCAATATTTATATAACTTTTTATTTATTTTATTTATGTACCTACGTCAGTGTGATGTTACGGCATTAGTCAACTCAAGCTAATTAAAACGCAGATAGTCTTGATCTAGCCACAAAATCTAGCTTACGGTACGGAATGAGTCATATTAAGAAAAGACAGCGCACTTACTGGTAGAAAAAAATATAGAAATAAAAAAAAACTGAAAGTACCTAGTTATTACCAATTTTTGGCACATTTTTCTTCTAGAAAACAAGCAGAGAAAAACAGTACCCTAATTTCTGTGTACTAATTCTATTCAAATCTTTAATGTTTGTACTACCTAAAGCAAATGCAGTTTTCCTGTTTAGCAGCTATTAGGATTTCTATAGCGCTGCCTAACTTTGTTACAAAAGTTTCAAATTTAACGCAAATCGTTTTTGTTAAATCAAGCACCAAATGTTTGAGGTTGAATTTCACGTTTCAGTTGTTATCATTGAAGTTTGGTCGTAACCGGAACGTGGATAAGGGGTAATTTGAATACTCGAAGTATTTGAATATGTCGACAAGTTAGTGTTGCTTTTCCTTGGAGCGTAGGAAACACGCAAATTCGCTTGGAAGGAGGTAAACGACATGTAAACGACGAGTGTATCAGTGGTGCGAGTTATTAATCGGTACCTCACACTGATAGCTATTCTAATGAGCCTCCGAAGAAGCGCGTAAGGAGGGCGAGGCGAAACGAAGTTTTACAATGACGACCTGATTAGAACGAAAAACATGGATTTCGAAACAGCAATTAGTTTCCTATCGGTAAATTTCCTTCAGTCTATGTGTATTACTTTACTTGTAAATTAACTTACTATGAAAGCATGGATAAGCTGATTTTACAACATTGAAACACCAGAAAGATTGCTAAAGAAAACTTATTAAAGTCTAATCACAAAACCACTCCATATTAATATTTTCTAAGAGAAACTTTGTACATCAATACAAGTAGTTGCTTGAAGAAATTATGTGAATGATTTCATGGTAAAGAAGTATTTCAATGGAGAGTTGAATCATCGTGATTGTTGTTACCATCTAAGGACATACTAATCAATATTACTGGCTACAGTTAAATGTCTAATGTAGTCTGTTTAGTTGCTAAGTGGTAGTATGTAGAGCACACTGTTTTGCTTTTTGCCTGTTGCTCTTCCTTAGACTTTTTGTGGTGGTACCTATTTCTGTGTGGTATTTAGGTGGTAACTATTGTAAGATAACCTCAATGATTATGAGGTTTGAACAAGATATATTCAATTTATATTTTCTGCAGGTAGTTTTATAAAGTTTAGCGACTAAGTGTTACTAAGTGTTACTAAGTGTGCAAACATCAGGTCTCTCCAACCCGTCTGACCAGCATAGGAAGTTTAGCGCCAAATCTTATATTTTCCCCCGGTAATAGAATCGTGCTCTAGCAGTGAGAATAAAAGACCTGGTGCCCTACACAAAGTTACAAAGTTATTATTAGTAGTTTTTTTTTGTATGTAATTTTCACTTCACTTTCGAAGTAAGTTAACAATATTATTGTCACGAAAACTAAGCTTTGTCCATGCCCGCAGGCCCCTGTATGGTGCTAGGATGATTTATTTATTTTATTTTTTTATTTTATTTATTTATTTATTAAATAAAATAAAAAATAAATATCCTTGGACATTTTACACTGCGCTTCTAGTCCCAAACTAAGCAAAGCTTGTACTATGGGTACTAGACAACGGATATAAACATACTTAAATACTTTTTTTTTGTAAATACATACTTATTATACATAGAAAACACCCAGTCCAATACAAACAAATATGTTCATGCACACAAATGTTTGTACTGTGCGGGAATCGAACCCGCTACCTCCGGAATAGTTGTCCGTTTCGAACCACTACACCAAACGGCCGACAAGATGATATTATGATGTATAGTTACCGTCTCTAGGCGGCGTGTGCCTGGCGGGGTCAAGCGCGTGCGGGAAGTGAGGGGACGCTCGCGGCAGCAGCAGCGGCCATACTCCCGCGCCGCCGTACAGGGCGCCCAGGCCGCTGCAGTACATCAGCGCTCCTAGTTCTGTGTAACGGAATCCTCATTTGAAAAAGAAACTTAAGGAACTGTGATATTAAGATTTTTTTGGAAGGTCTAAAGCTAGAGCGATCAAGCAGAGTTGATTCGCGGAAAATGAGCTTTCAGGAATATCCTGAAAATTAGAACCGATGGTTCTTTTTAGAACATCTTATTTAAAAGTACCTGGTACACCGGGAAATTTTAAAATGGTTTTTCCCAGAGCGGAATGCTTTCTGAAACTTTTTCAGCGTAAACCTTTTTTTAACGGAGAGAATGCTTCAGCTTATTTATGCTTCTACACATTGCAACAAAAAGATATTTTAAATCTTAAGATCCTACCTAGGCTAACTTATTAGTGTATTGAACTTTAGTGAAAACTGAAAAAGTCTAAGTACATATAAGGTAGAGTCACTTCTATCAGGCTTACAAATTGTAAGTACCCCATAACATAGGTATTCGCACAAACGTGTGATATCGCAGAAGCGACAATTAACAAGTTACTTCATGTAAATAGATGGTCTGAATTCGTATCTTAGAAAATATAGAGCATTATCACTCACCAGTAGCGCGCGCGTACTGTTTCAGCGCTCGCCCAGCTATTTCAATATCTCCCAGCTGCAGAAGATCCAGCCGATGCTGTGCGAGAGAGTCCGGCGAGTGCGGTGGCGAGCGCGGCGAGGTGGGCGTGTGAGGCGACACACTGCGCTCGGGGGACGGAAACCTGTGCGCGGGCGGAGGCGACGACGGCTTGAACTGCTCCGCCAGCCGGGACAGGAGGACGTGCCGGGACATGCTGCAAGAAGGAGGCTTGTTAGAGGTATGATAGTCGGCTACACGCAACAGCAGCAGATGACGTATCCTCGTGACATACTGGTTTCTGTTTCAATACTCATATAGTAACGTGCCGTTCTTTGCAGGACAAAGGCCTCCCCTAAGGATTTCCACCAGATTGTCGGTCAACTGATTGGGATGCCTGCCTACATTACGTTTTCCGGTAGGCAGGTTTCTTCAGCTACGTTTATATACATCCTGTATATTTTAAAAGTTTACCACCACCCTGTTTCCTTGTTTTTATTTTATGAAAAAAGAGTTAAGTCTGTCACATTTGCCCATGTTTTTATTTAGAGCTTCATGTCATACCTAATACAAGCCTAGGGTTTCAGGATTATTTGTGTATCGCAATTATGGTAATGTGTTAGACTTTTAACCATATCTACTACCGGCCCAGTAACAACTAACTATAAGTAATAAGTATCATAACGAACAACTTTTTTCAATTTATGTAAACACTTTTGTTGTGATAATGATATGCTAATTTAATGTTCGTTTATAATTTTCCATATTGAAAGAACTGTTTTGCAACGCATAGAATTCACTTTGTTAAAACTACAAAAATTATAATTTGAAAATCACGCCAATTAAATAAACCTTTTGAAATAAGGAAAGTGCTATCACAAATACATAAAGGATAGACATGATAAATCACTGCTATAAACTCATGTTCATCTCATAAAAAAACTGTTCCCAGCAGAATTCGAACCCATAACCTGAAAGCCCAAAGCCTGAAAATCTGTTCTTTCTTTGGAAAATACATGAAATAATTGTTCTTATTAAATAAAACATTAGTTATAATCCTTATAATACAGCAGTGAATGTCTTTTGGTTGAATAATTAATATAGCTTCTTGAATATCATTCATATGATTAATTAGTTTATAATTATCTTTCGAATTAACATTAACAATCTTATGTAATTGTTGAAGCGCGTAAAGTTGTTAACTTATAAAATTGCTTAGTACCTACTTTTTGTTTTTATATATCACAAAAAGCGATCGTAGATCAATTTAAAAATAACATTATCATTGTTTTGCCGTGACCTGCGTCATTAGCGACGTATATTTGTTGACAGCTCTCGCCCTGATTAATCCGTCGCTTGACAGCGAATCATATTAAAGCCAAAAGCTCAATCAAGCAAATGAAGAATCAGAATAATGGACGCGCCGTGCGCAAGCGCATTAATAATGCACGCCCGCGGCGAAACAATCTTCATTACGTTAACACATTAGACATTTAGGTACGCCATCAACTAACGTATATTGTTATTAATTCTTGAACAATAGACAAACAATGAATATTCTGAATGATTTCACTGAAAGCTTCCTACAAGATTTTTTGAATAGATAGGAATAAAGGACGTGACTCTATGTCTACGAGTACAATATCCAGAACGTGCTCACCTTATCTACTCTCTAAGTTAAATATTTCTTATTGGACAATCAGTTTATGAATTGAAGTTTGCACGCACTATCTATATAACTGGAGAATAAATAATAGGGCCCACTTAAAAATCGTGCCAGGGAACTAGGTACGAGGGTAGTAAGTCACTCTAGCTTTGTATCACTTCTTCTACGTGACGTTCCATTACACCTTAGCAGCAGATTGCAGGAAAATGAAGAATGCCTATCCGATAGATATACCTACTCTGATTAATAGCTGAATAGTTTAAAACTACTAACTAAAAAGTACAAGATTGAATGCATGATACAAAGTTACCGCTATGCATATTTGTAATAGCAAACAATAAAATTGTCAATAAAAGACGACGCTAAATTGATATTAATACACGAAACGTTTTATTGTTCTAGCATCCCAACTATAATATTATAAATGCGAAAGTAACTCTGTCTGTCTGTCTGTCTGTCTGTCTGTCTGTCTGTCTGTTACGCTTTCCCGCTTAAACCTCGCAACCGATTTTGATGAAATTTGGCATAGAGATAGTTTGAGTCCCGGGAAAGAACATAGGATAGTTTTTATCCCGGTTTTTGAAAAAGGGACGCGCGCGATAAAGTTTTTCTGTGACAGACAAAATTCCACGCGGGCGAAGCCGCGGGCGGAAAGCTAGTAACTAATGAAGATGACAATGAAATGCAAAAAAATCTAATTACAATGATGTGCCGATAGATGGGGGCGATAGTATAAACTAATAACGTTAAGCTTTTAGTTTCTGATTACTTCACGATTAATAATCCTGCCCTGGCTAGGAGTGATTGTTTATTTATGAGTGACAACTTGACAAGATGACCTTTCTACGTCTTAAAGACAAAGAACAATCACAAGGTACCAACTCAAATAACGGAAACTTTTAATGATATGGAAATATGTTCTGCGATATTATTAGACGTCCGTATCGTCAATTTGATAAAGCAATTTGTCCGCTATTAGCACTAATTGGCTAACGAGTTAACTTATAAGAGGGTTGTGTGTCGCAATTTCTTGTTCCAATAAAGCAAGCCTCCATTAGATCCGGAGTGGTAATTATGGAAGCTCGGTCGCCACCTATTTTTTCCTGCTTCAATGGGAACTCGTGCAAGTGTTGAGAAAATCAATCACCGCGAAAATGATTACGGTTTCAACATTCTTTATGCATGCGATGAGCTCTAATAATTATACACGACGGGCAAGAACTAACTTTAATTTAATTGTAAGCATTAACTTTCAATGAATGTAAAATCATTTTTTACTTGCGGTTTGCTTGTTTAAGATTTTATTTTATGGATTATTTTAACAATGCCTCTTATAGTTTATTGGAAGTATTAACGAATTATNTGAATTATAAATCGATTTCAAATATTAATAGGCGTAGCAAGCTTATTTAAGTTTTTAAATTTGTTTTATATAAATAACTAGCTTTCCGCCCGCGGCTTCGCCCGCGTGGAATTTTGTCTGTCACAGAAAACAGTTTCAAAAACCGGGATAAAAACTATCCTATGTTCTTTCCCGGGACTCAAACTATCTCTATGCCAAATTTCATCAAAATCGGTTGCGAGGTTTAAGCGGGAAAGCGTAACAGACAGACAGACAGACAGACAGAGTTACTTTCGCATTTATAATATTAGTTGGGAAGTTGGGATAATAGTGTTTTTAATTGTTTAGACTTGTTTTTTTTTGTTACTACAAGTTGTTTCACTTGATTAAATCTTTAACTTATTAAATCGTGCATAAAACTGCAACCGGTATGGATTTTTCCGAAACGTTATTATTGTTTAAATAATGTTTGAACACCTGAACATACTCGTATACTGTCTGAATACTCGTTGCATTGTAGCATTTTCGACATGCCAAATCCAACCAAGTACGCGTCAATATTTGTCATCATGTCTACTCGTGGATGCACCAGAACGTAATATTGTAAAACCACTGCTTTGTTCTAGAATATAGGTATTTAGAAATTGTAGTAATGTTGCAACAATCAAGAAATCAACTTCAGCTTAAAAGCTTTTCAGGTAAGACCATAAAATCAAATATCATTTACATCGAACTCACATTTTGCACGTAGGTTTGTTGGCAAACTAATAAAAGAAACAGTGATTTAACATGCATTGTTAATAAGAAGTTGTACCTAATTAGTATCAAAATTAGCATAACTTCCCTACTCTACATTTTCATAAAAAAATGATATACCTAATAAAATTGTTTTTATTAAATAGCTAACTATAAAGCATTAATACCTGCTGTTAATTTCTTCATTTGGTACAAAACTTTGACTTTATAAAGTTAGATTAAATAAAAATAAATGTAATAGAAATAAATATCTTAGCCTAAGTATACCTACTTAGGTATATTCTTGTAAATATATTAGAAACTTGCATGTTTTTACTTCCTGGAGTATTAATAAATTAAATTAAGCATAAAATACTTTTAATAACAAACAGGAGTATAAATAGCAATTATAAATTATTTAGACATAGAAAAATAGTGAAATCTTGAAATCAAAAAATATTCAGTCAAAAAAAACAAAATTTATAGGTAGGTAAATATAAATATTTCAGGTGTTCTTACCTTGGGCGGGAAATCTGCTAAGCTCTGAGATTTCCTCACTCACTGTCGCAAGTCACTCAAATTAAAAAGTACTGAAAACTTTGAAAGTTCCGTTCAATTTTCACATGTAGTCATTGTATAGTGGAGCGAGGTTTGTTAGTTCGAGCACGCTCGGGAGGCTTCGCGGGAGCGGCGCGGGCGTTCGTCGCGGCGCCGGCCACCTGACTGACGGAGCCTCGCGCGCCCCGACCTACCCGACTCATCCATAATAACGTACTTTTTTCAAAACTCTGCTAACAAAAAAGAGCAGGTCGGACGGAGGCTGCGCAATAAAGAAATGATTTGATGAAACGGCTACTTGACAGGTGGCTCGAGCCGCATCCTCGCATACACCATTTAATTGTCGGTTGCGCTTACGTTGACGGCGCAGAGGACGCACTGAAAAATGCCTTTTAAGTATTAATGCCCACAAATAAGCGGTTGCTGCTCGTGTGACATTAAACCCGTATTATTATGCATAGCGACTGTTAGTTGCGGATAGACCGGTCCGGCGAAGCTAGGCGGCTACTGGGTTATAGAACAGAGGAGTGAGTAGAGATTTATGTATCTGTGTCGATGTTATTGAATGGAGCCGAAATCAGAGCTGCGAGTACATAGCGGAGCTTAGATTTGTGCGCGCCCCGCCCACCGTGCGCTATTGGCCGGCGCCTAGCGTTGGGCGGGGCGCGCTCTTAGACGCTGGTCTTAGAACGGATTTGATGAAATCCTTTGTTTACTTGAACAAATTGTGTTATCTGAGTAATTAGTCTTTTGATTTAAAATACGTAAATCGTTGTTTTTCCGTTGGACAAAGGTGCAAAAACAATCTTTAACAATAAACGTTTTAATTTCACGGTCATTTCAGGTTTTGACTTTGTTTTGTTAGAACTCTATCGCTTCGAGGAATTTGTTTTCTCATTTTTACACATTTATACCTAGGTACATATAACGTTATTGTTAGCTAATTCTAATCGGAAAACCTTAGGAGGTCTCATGTGAAAATCCTCTGCTATAAGCAAATACTTACAAGTATAGAATAACACCAAGTAGTTCCAGCTTTTTGTTATTTGGAAAGACAATCCTGTACTGGCAAAGGCCTTACACAAAGTCTTTCACAAATGTCCCAACTGATAAGAAGACTTTTTATAGAGTTTATTTATTGAACTTTTATTACACTAGCAGTAACACTCCCTGGTATTTAATAAAAACATTTTGCATTATTTTGCCTGTCGTGTGGACATTTATTCAGTTCTGTAGATTTTGTGAATCGTAACGGAATATAATGATATTAAGTTAACTGACTGATTTTAGAGTGAACTATACAATATACAATATACATATCTAATCTACGAATACCTAAAATATATATTGTTAGCAATGTTAGCTTATCTATTGTTATCTAATTTTAGTTCCAAAATACTGGACTGTCCTGTCGATGACATTGACAGTGGGGCGCCACCGTCAATACCGGATCGCTGGTTCAGATTTTTACCATGTTGGAAACCATATAGTTGAACGATGGTAGCGCCCCCCTGTCATTGAGTTTGGTGGGACAGTTCAGCGTGGTCATCTATAACTACATATTCTAAATTGCCAATCTTCATCATAATTTGATGACTGTACCATAGACTAAGTATACAGAAACACAAGAGGTGGAAACATGAATTCGTTTGTTTATGACGATGATAAAGTAGATAAAAATAATTATCGTATCAATACTTAAACAACTTCAAGTGTACCTACGATTTGCTTAATGCGCTTAAAATAATTAACGTATGTAGGTAATTACGTTGCGCTGGCTTGTCTTTTTTTGGATAAAATAAAGTTTAATTAAAAGACAAGTCGTATCAATTTCCTGTAAGGTGTACCTGCATTAATCACGTTTACCGGTTGATTAACCCATTGTAATAGCAATCTCGGGAAATTCAATTAAGCGGCTAATCTGCTTTGGTTACAGCGTGTTGTATTTCGTTTGGGAGCTGTATGGTTTCAGAGGGGTGATTTTCAGGGGCGCGATGAGGGTAGGTGGCGGCGCGTGCGGCGCGGGGCGGGCGGCATAACGGCGAGCGCGTGGCGCGAGGGGCGCGGGGCGCGGGGCGCGGGCGGGCGTCACGGCCCGTTAGCGCGGATCCTCGGCGCGTGCACATGTCGCCCCGGCACGCGCCCGCGCCACTTTTTATCATTCTTTTTCTGCCGTCGTTTTTGTTTTCTTCCTTTGTTCGAATTTTGAATTAAAGCCTCCTTTCCGAATTCGGAGGGATTTAATGAAGCCGGATTGTAGATATCGCGATCGTATTTATGTGATTCCGTCTTTTTTTTGGTCTGAGAAAAAAACGAGAACTCGTTCGGTAACGGTCGGCTCGATTTATCGCATGCTATCGATAATCTGGCGAAATTAACTTATGTAAATACGATGTCTTATTAGAGGTAGGTTCGAGTGGAAAATACAGCTCATGAATATGGTTCGTAGGTATGTTGTGTGGTTAGTGATTACCGTCGTCTAATAAAATGCGAAACCTGCTTGATAGATAAGTAAATCAAAATAAAACAGTTGAAGGGTTGGCGGGCAGTGGGCTTCAGGTGAGTGGGAACCGGTCGGGCAGGCGGCTGCGCAGGGCTCGCCATTCCTCGCAGTCAACTTTTATTAATTGGGCAGATGAGAGCCACGGTCTCCATGATGAATGCTTATCCCTTATACGGGCAGCAGTTCGCGAAACCTTTTATAGATTCTCAATTAAAAGTGTCTATTATAGTTAATAGGACGATCGGACATTGTAGCGTTTATAGAAACAGGAGTATTTGCTTTAAGTAGGGATAAAAAACAGGTAATATAACGGAAAGGACGATTAAGTGGAATAAAATATAGCGTGGGGGTGCGGGTGGCAGGTGGCTCTACCTTAGGGATGCTACGGGAAGGTATCGACGTCGATTTTAGACCTAATACGAGATTTTCGGGATTTGTGATTTGATTTCTTGAATATAAAAAACATAAAAACAGGTAATATGTTGGTTTAAGTAACACTACGTATATACTTTACTTAAGATCATATCAAAAATCATAACACAAAAACTCTTTGCTCTACTTTTTATGGCTTGGCTATAAAAGCCAATTTTTTATTTATAACCTAACTTTACTACGCTGATGCATTTTTTAAACCGTACTGTCTGTTCCGTCAAAAACTAATGCCTCTTCAGACTTGCATTAGATGAATTTAGATTTTGATTAGAACTTCTTTCTTTAACTTTCACTTTAGAATTAAAAAAAGATGGAAAGTATCGATAAAAAACTAAATGTCTTGGCCGTTGCCTTTCGACAACGGGCAAGATTCTCGGCACGAGTCGCCCACGTCGCGGCATCTGCACTCTTAACCGATTTATTCAAACGTTTGCGCGTGCCACTGCCACGCTTGCGCCCGCGTCGCTCACCGTTCCTTGTCTTCATTTGTCTTGCCTCAGGGCTCAGAACTTATATCCTCAGTCTCTTCAAACCAATGTGTAAAACAAAACAACACACTGCTGTTACCCGAACTTTTCGTTATCGGTCAATGAACTGGTGATTTTTTCAAGAAATAGGTATGCCTACCTACATACTCGTCGGTAAAACAACATCATGAAATTCAATACAAAACATATCGAGTTTCTGATATTTGTAATAATAGTACCCAGTTTAAGAAGATAAACTAATTGTTTGTTTCGATTTAAAGTGAGGGTTATTGGGATCACAAAGTAGAGTTTTTTTTTTTTAAATACTGCATTTTATTTTGCAGCCCTGAATAGGTAGTAGGTATTAAATCATAACAACTGCGTTACAATCAAGTTATTATTCACATTTTCATATTTACAATGCAATCGATATGTAGACAAATATTTGGTGAGTACGGCACGTGTAGAGTAATGTCACCTAGCATTGCCAGCTATACGAAGTAATGTAAGGTAGGTAAATAATTTTGTAATGAGTTTGTATGACTGAAGATCAAATATTTTTTTGGCCTTGTCAACTTTTATTTTAGTATCCTCGCCGACATTTATTTAACCTATGTCCGAGTATGTCACTAGTATTTCGGTACAACGTCAACCCATACCTACAAATTGGTAGGTAATTTTATTTTTCCTCTAATATAACCAATTTTCGTTAAAGAGTAGGTACGTAGGAGGTTCGAACTTCCAACCCGTCTTAAATTCCATTACTTACCGAGCTAATCTCAATGTAGAGACGTGGATGTTGGTTAACAATTTGATCAACATACGTCGTATCTCAAGATAATTTAATAGTTAACGAACTATAGTTTAGTTTCGGTAATTGCGTATATACCTAAGCAGGAGGACAAATATAAACAGTTCAGAACTGATTCAGGTATCATACTTAATTACAATAAACTTAATGCTGAAAATTAGCATATCAACTAATTTAAATTACAAATTCACGAAGAAAATTAGTCATCGTATTTGTAAGGTAAATACATCTCATTTCTCAGTAAATACGACTTGAAAAAATAAGCCAGTGAATAGGTAGGTATGTATTGCATTACGTAAACATAATGATTTATTCGATCCATTGCCGCCGCGTCGGAGCCGACACTCCTTTGGTTTTTATTAACTTAAAAGCAATTTCTCAAACACTCTGATCCCAGTACCTATATTGAGACTAATTTGAGGTAGATAAACTCATTTACAGTAGGTTATTTATAACTAATGTTAACAATTTAAGATAAGGAAGCAATAATAAATGTGATTTGATGTATGAGTAACTAGGTATAGGAGAAACTTGAATGGCAATATATGTTTTTATCTTTATTTATTAATAACATAATAAGCTACGAGCACTAAATTAGCACCATGTTATGGAGCCTTTTGTGCGTTTCATAATAGAGTCGGTTGTATTTTTAATTTGCATGTGACTTATCTTTCATTATCAAGTTACTCGCATGCAATTGTCGTCAAAAGTGGTCGCATAATGAAGCAAGAATTATGACTAACAAAAGGATAAGTGACTATAATTTAAACTTAATCGATGGCAACAATCTTAAAGAAAGAAATCTTAAAGAAATAAATCAAATGTGGGTAGGTGGTTACTGAGGTTATAAAAGTACCCGCATTTATTACTATTGTATGACATCTGAATAGGCATGATATTTAACATTTTTTTCAATTATCTAGCTCTAAACTACGC